AGCGCAGTGTTCACGATGGTTCACTTTGGCTTCCAGCGCTCGTTATACGCCCGCGCTTCACTTCGACGTATGCGGCGCGCCGTATGACGTTGATCGTAAAAGTCTTTACGGAGACTTTACGGGTCTTTGCAATTTTGATAAAGAACGTCGAGAGCGTCACTCTGTCCCGCGGCTCTAATGAGAATCCCGAGGAGCGAGAGAGAGAGAGAGAGAGAGAGATAAGCTACTTAACGCTACTTAACTTATTAGCACATTAACGCGCGGATAGATCCGATACTCCGGCGTTGCACGAGATGTCTCTTTCGAGAGATAGGTCGTGTCGCGGATTAATGTCGTCCGTTTAGATAAACTTGTCGAAGCGTGCGAGCGTGCGGAGAAAACGCCGCGAGACGAAGGTCTCTGGTCGTGTGCCATTAATAAGGAGTGACGACGACGTGACGTCAGCGTTGCTTTACGCGAGACGAGCTTTTTGGCCGTGTCGCGATATTTCGCAAGCAGGATATCGAGCGCATCCTGTAACTCGAACACTGCCGGTGTGTGTTTTCTTGTTGTCCGCTTCCCGCAATTCGCAGGCTGCGTAGGCTGCATTCGTTTGACGAATTCGTCGCACGCTTTTGCGTAGGAAGATGGACATTGCGCGCGCGCACATGCCCAGGATGCGTCGCACGCCTCGTTAGCCATTCGCGGACGCGATCTAATGAAATTAAACGCCAGTCAGTCTCGCACAAGTCGCGAGTTGTCGGAGTTGTCTCGCGGCCGCGCGGCGAGAAGCTCGCGAGAAGATCGACCGCGGTCGCGGTCGCGCGAGACGTCGTCGCCCCGATATTCGCCCCGGCGAATCTCCGCGTTACCGCGCGTGTTAATTGAACGGTCGCCCGTTGAATTCAGGTCACTGGACTAATCGCATGCCGCGAGCCGCCCTGGTCTCTCTCGGTCACTCGTACTCGAGCGAATTGAAATTTCGCGGTCGCGCTTTGAGATCCGCGCGAGACCGAAAGCGCGAGCGTGTCGGTCGCCTTTGATCGGTCGTAGTACAATCGCGAATTTACGGCGGAAAAGCACGACGCACACACACACACACACACACACACACACACACACACAGAGGCTCGTGCGCGCGCGTGCGTGGTGGAATTGCTCAATTACCCCGGCTGCAGCGCTCTCGCACCGGCGCGCGGCGGCCGCGGCATGCGGAGGTAAATTGTCCATGGAACGTGCGGCCGGTTTACCTTTGTAAATTGGCGCAAAAGGAAGACAGAGCACGATCGCGCGCGCGCGACGACAGCCGCCGCCGTCGCCGTCGCCGCCGCGGACGTGCGCGTCTTGTTGTTTTGCTCGTCGGGGCCGGGGCGCGAAATGAAGGTGCACGTTTTGTCGTTTTCCGTTCTCGTTCGGCGCCGGTAGGCGCAGCGCAGCGCGCTTCGATTCCCACGTGGAACCGAGTTGTCGCGCGGCGGCCGCTCGCGAGCAGATTTCACGCGCGAATCGATTCGCGCGCGTCTTCTCTCTCCCCGCCGGCGCGGGCGGCCGGCCGGGCCATTTGCCAAACGCGCGCGTTTTCTCCCGACACTCTTGGCGTTCCATAAATAAATTCCTCGACCGTCGCGCCGACCTTCCGCCGGCCGGCGATAAGCCGCACCGAAGTCTGGCAGACGAATGGCGCCTAGCGCGACCGGCGAGTTCCGAGGTCGCTGTTTGCCGACGAACGTGTCGCTTCGGCGAGTCCTCGCGACGAATAAAACGCTTCGCGACGCGCCGCGCCGCGCCGCGCCCGCAGCCCGCGATCCGCATTGCCAAGGTCAGTCTAATCCTGAAGCCTGTAGGTGTGAGAGCGCGCGCAACCACCGACGCCGAGACGGGGCGCGAGATAGGCAGGCCGGCTGTTAATAACGCCGAGCGTTCGCGATGCGAGAGAAGCGCATTTGAAGCACGCTTCTCGGAAGCGGAGCGCTCAAGACAATCTTGAGGAGCAGCGGGACGAGCTTGGCAACGTGCGCCGATAAGAATAACCGACATTGCGCGGGAGGCGGGGGGGTCTCTAATTCACGGAAAATTTCATTTACCGGCTCCCAAAGCGTGAAATTGTGAGCTAAATTCGCCGCTGATTAATCGCCACTAGGCCCGAGCATCATTCGCAGGTCGCGCGCTCGAACGTAATGGAAAGCTCACGCGTTTTAGTTAGAAGGCGCACGGAATATTCCCTCCAAGTCGAATTTACTCTCGTGGCGAGAACTCGCGCGAGCCCCCCCTTGCGAGAGCGCAGAATGTCTCTGCTTCTTTCGTCGTCATTCGTTCGTTCCAGCGTCGAGAGAAGGCGCAGTCTTGCATATTATGCGCAATGGAGTGACACGTGTCGGATGCACGACAAGTTGTGAGCGAGATGACAATCGCGCGACGAAACAAACAATTTCCGACGAAATTGTTCTGGCCGCACTGGCCGAGGAAGAAGAAAGTGAGTGCGTCTCGCATCAGGTCGCCGCCGCCGCGACGACACCATTGTCATTGCGCTCGAGACGATGTTCTCTTCGCGGGCGAGTCGCGGTCCGCTGTCTTCCGCGCGTGTACGCGAAAGTTAATCTCGAGCTCGGCCGCGCGGAACGGCCAATCACGAAACGCGATCCGGCGCGTATCCCGCGTATTACTACGTGGATGACGGCTAAACCTAATTTAACGCGCGTTATCCCGTCGATCTCGTTACGCTCCGGTCGATGCGCGCGGCGCACAAGAGCGAGCGAGCGAGCGGAGTCGGCCGATCCTCGCCGCGCCGCGCGTCTCCGCGGGCGACGTAATTAAACGAGACCGAACTCGGCGAGCGCGCGCGCGACTTCGATCCCCGGTAAAATTAGTTTTGCGGATATACGGCGAGCGCGCGCGGGCCAATATAAACAAGCGAGCGACCGGAAATCAAATCTCACCTGCGCACCACACTGATAAAAAACGACGCGAAATATCTTAATAACAACAACAATAGTCCCTTATTCATGGGAACAAAGGCAAAAAAAAGCGGGTAGCGAGTGGAACAAAAGAAATGCATCAAACACAACGAGAAACGATACACGGCTGGGAGCCCTCGGAAGCGCGTTTGCGGCCGTCGGAGACGCGACGACGTTGACGCAACGCGATTTCGTCGCTCGAACGACAAGGTAAATCGCGCCGAACGACGAGGATTCCGCGGCAGGATCGCGAGAGCAGCGTCCGAATCCTCGATCTCGCGTTCGAATCACGATCGAGATCGTACGATTTCGCGGGCGTGCGCGAGGAGCCACGCTAGATGACTATCTATCGGCCGGGGAATCGCCGCGAGAAATCCGCGAGGGTTCCCGGGGTACAGTTACAAGCCGGGGTCTCTCTCTCTCTCTCTCTCTCTCTCGCGCGCGCGCCTCGCCACGTGGGTATATCGCGTGCTCCTCCGGGTGCCCATGCATGCAAATGGGGAGCGGCGCGTTCGCCAGGGAGACGAGCTCACGTGTGCGACCGCGAAGTCGAGCCGACCGGCGATCTTAATCTCCAGCGGCAAGGCCGATGCGCGCGCGCGCGCTCGCTCGCGAGAGAACTCGCCGGTGACTGACTTTACGACTTTCAACTCCTTCGACGGCGGAACGACGTCGTCGTGCATCACCGCGGCTTCTCCAAAGCCGAACTGCATATCCGCCTGCTCGCTTCGGCCTGCAGTCGCGGCTCTGTCGCGATACGTCCGTGTAGCAGCAAGTAGTGACCCAACTCATACTCGATTGAACGAATTAGCAGCTTCGTATGAGAGTTGATTGCAAGATAAGAAGCAAGGAGTATATTTTAGCCGTCGGACGTGAACGAGAAAGCAAGATCCATGAGTGTCACGGAGGACATTTTTATTAAATTTTATGAAGTATTCGTTGTCGAATCGTCCGGGAGACTTTAATTAAATTTTTATTAAATACCACACAATGATGACTCGACCTGATGAGAGGCCGACCTATTATAAATATTGAAGAAATGCTGAGAGCGACGTTATACGTGCATGTCGTCATGACTTTGTTTATGTAGGTTTGAACAACGTGTGATACCCGAATAGTTGGAATCTTTTGTAAACAGTTAGCGGGCAAGTTCCGCCGAGATCGCGGAATATTTGACGTTAGAATCGTTAGATTATTCGACGACGAATTAAACGAAGATGAGTAAACAGACGTCGGTCGAATAGACTGGGTGGACCGAAACGGTTACTTTGATTGATTGTAGCTATTGTATTATTTGAAATCTCCGATCAGTATCGATATTGAGAACAATATATCATCGATAAACATGTTTAGAATAAATAGAATAATATACGGCTCGTTGACTTTGTTCGCCGGCACATCAACATCGACGTGGACCAATAAGAAGTCTCTCCTAGACAACAAAGTTTTAAGAGCGGCGAACAGGAAAAGGAGACTTTTTTCTTTTTCTCGGCTTTAATTCGTTAACGCCTGTTTGTTTCTTTACGACCAGGCAACGCTTTGTCGGATTTGTCACGACTTTTGTAACCGAATAAAAATACTCATTATCGTTGATTATCGTTACCGCGGGGGTGCGTGTCACTTTTTCCACCGTGTTAATTTCCTCGTCTGCGTTTCTTACCGCGGTCCTATCCTTACACTTTTATCGATACCTTTTCCTAGCTGGCCTTCCGCCGCGCACATACAATTTGCTTCGTTACTTCGATTAACGCGATTTCTCAATCGTAATTGTCGTCGAACGAGCGAGAGAAAGATTGTGAGCGATTTCGTATGATAGCTGCAGCAGCCTGCCAGAGACGTTGTCATTATATCGAGATTGAGAACGCCTACGTGCGTGTCGCAATTTGGCGCGAAGGAACGGCGCGAAGGAAAAAGAAAAGCAGCGAAAAATCTATACAACTTTACGCGCGAATCTTGGCGGGCGAATGGGGGGAGTACGCGGTTTCAGGCGTCATCGACGATGATGCCGACGATGAAGGAGAAGCGGCGGCGAAATCGGGGTCTCTCTTCAACATCAGTCTTACTCACGGTATTAGTAACGTCCGCCTGCATGTCCTTATCCTCGTCGTTCTTCTCGTTATCCGGGCCGTACATGTACCCGTCGTTGTCCAGATCGCCTCTCTTGCTCTTGCTATGCGCACCGTCGCCCTTGACCGCGGTCTTTCTTTCTTGCTGCCAATTGTTGCGCATGGCCGCCACGGCGAACGCGTTATTCGCCGACGGCTTATCCGGGACGGCGGATTTGACGCTCGAGCTCACCGCGCGCGCTCTGTTGATGATCGGCCTGTTGGCGTACGTATAGGGACCTAACACCCTGGTGATGTTCCTCGACTCGTACTTGAGGTTCCTGTAGCCATCGCGTTTCGCATATCTGTCCTCGATGTTTCGGTAATCCCTCTTGACGGTGGTCCTCGCAGTGATCGGGTCGTCGGACGTGAGTCTCTTGATGATGTCGTCGTAAGTCAAGGCTGGCCTGGATCTGTTCTTGTAGAAGTCGTTGTCCAGCTCCTCAAGCTCGTCATTCCCTTCGCCCTTGTCGTCGAAGATCTTCCAAATGTCATCCTCTTCCTCCTCATCCTCCTCCTCCTCGTCGTTGTCGTCGTCGTCGTCGTCGTCGTCGTCCTTGTCCCTCTCCTCGAGTCCTCCGTGATCCTTGTAATCCTCGTCCTCGTCTTCCTCCTCGTCCTCGTCGTCGCTTTCGCTCTCGTCAGACTTGCTCTCGCCCTTTAACGAGTGGGGCATGTACTCTGACGAGTTGAGCCTCCTCCTCCAATATTCCGTCCATCTGGACTCTCTGTCGCGATCGACGACGCGATCCTTCAAGCGATGCCTCCACACGTTGGGAGAGGGACGCGTGTCCTCGTCGAATATCCTGCCTCTCCTCGGAGGTGGTGGCGGTGGCCGTCTGGAGTTCCTCCTCCACTCGAGACGCCTGTCGGCTGGGGCAGCCCCCCCGTCTTGGACGTGCCTATGCGGCTTACCGTAATCGAAATCCTCGTCCGTGCTGTCGTCAAAGACGTGATCGTGCGTGTAACGGCCGTGGCTGTAGCTCCTGCCGGGTGTGTATCGGCGGCGAGCTTTCGCGTTGTACCGCGGCGAGATATTGCGCCTGTCATTGTCCTTGTCGTACCAGCCGCTTCCGCGGTAACCGCCCCCGCCCCCACCGCCGCCGCCACTGTGGTACCTATCCGGGTAGCGCGGCTCGAGCATCCGGCCATGATAATTCCGCGGCTGCTGATACGATCTGAGCCGATCGTAGTACAGCCGCATCTCGTAATCGTCCTCGTCCTTGGAGTCTCCTCCGTCGTCCTCGTACTCCCCGTCGTAATCGACCTCCTGCCAGGATCTCCTGTCGAGGTCGTGATGACTCCTCCGATTCGAGGACTCATGCCTGTGCCTGTGCCGATGTCTCGCTTCTGTCGTCGCTCTGTCCTCACGCTGATGGTACTTGCACTCGACCACGAAGAGGCCGTGGGCCATCAGCAGGCCCAGCAGCAGCAGCAGCAGTAGCTTGCTCCTGTCGCGCGTCATCTCGTCGCCGTTCTCTCAGGACACCTTACATCATCGCGACGGGCCACGTGACCGCGGCTTTCGCGCGGTCGCACCTGTTCGGCTCTCGATGCCTCCTCGCGGGTGACGACGATTCCTTTAGCGGCGCATCGAGTCGGCCGTGTAATCGGGCGGTAGCAGCGGAACTCGCGACGATCGGCTCCAAGCCGATCATTCCAGCACGATCGAGGCGAGACGGCGCGCCGTCGTGTCTCTCTCTCTCTCTCTCTCTCTCTCTCTCTCTCTCTCTCTCCTCCGGCCTGATGACCCACCCACCGGCGGGACGGCTCGTGTCCTCCGACTCCTCGCTCGTCGATCAATGAGCGGCTCGCTCGAGCGTTCGCCAAGCGTCAATCTCCCGCGCCACGACTTGTGCAGCTTGTTCCTCTGAATTTAAGCGCGCGCGTCGCGTCTCGCCCAAGTCGCGGTCAGCTCGCGGTGGGTGACACCACGTGGTGACCGCGGAACCTGAAACGTAGCGATCGTAGCTGGCGACTCTCTTTTGGCGCGGCTCCAGTGCACCCGGCGAAGCACGCGCGGAAGCCCGCCGCCCGACTCTTCACTAATCGCCGGTGAGAAGAGACCACCACCTGGGACGTTTCAGAAGGCACCGCGGGCTGGATCAGTCGCGCGAGACTATCTTCTCGCGCCGTAGGACGTTGTCGTCGCGTTATATCGACCCGCACTGCGCTCCTCGTTTCGCTCCCGTTTCGCGCCACTCTCGACTCGGAAAATCGTTGCTCCACCCTCTCTGTCTCTGACAGGTCGTTGTCGTCGCGCCGAGCCGAGCCGGTCTCGCTCTTCGACTTCTCTCGCGGCGAACGCGGTCGCGATTGGTCGTCACGAACGGTCGACCGTCCCCCGTGTATTCGTCGTTCCCCACGGGACCAAGTCTCAGGATGACCACGCTATCCTGACCCAGCGATTCTCTGTGATCCCGAGTGCCGCGCGACGTGCGAGCGAGCACTCCTGGTCCCTCGGTTCTCCACCACCTGACCAACACCACCACCGTACACCGCCGCTTCACCGGTTCTCCAGCGGGTGGTTCCCGCTCGCGTGATCCACTGACGACCGGCGCGTGGCTGACCTGGACATGGACGCGCGAAGAGGGTACGACACGTTTACACCGAATCGTATCGCGGACAGAATGTCGCGGGCGACTGAGGCCAGCCGGAGCAGCCGGCGGCCTAAGAGATCGCGGAACGCATCGCGCATGCGTGCGGGCGATATTCGCCCCCACCGTCCCTCACGTCTCGCGCCGGATGGAGTTCTCTCCTCCACCACCGCCGCCGCCGCCGTCGCCGCCGTCGCCACCGCCACCGCCACCGCCGCCGCCGCCGGTCGCCTCCTTCGTCCCTTCGTCCTTCGCCTTTACCTCCGCAAGAAATGCACGCGCGCGCGCGCGGTGTTTCACGGACCCCGCGCGATGATGCACCATGAAACAATAGACGCGCGATGAGCCGCATCTCCGCCGGAGATACACCGCGGCCGTGTGTGCGATGCCGATGAGAAAGTCGTCACTTCCGACGACCCGCCAGGGTTGCGTTTTTGCCAATCGCGCGACTTGGGCGTAAAGGAGGAGGAAGAGGAGAAGGAGGAGGAGGAGAAACAGCAGCAGCGCTTAGGGCGCTCGGACGATGCAAGGAGAGTGAAATTCCTTCGGAGGCGCGAGTCTTGTCTTCCGAGTTTTTCGGACGAAAAAGAGAGAAAGAGAGAGAGAGAGTGTGTGTGTGTGTGTGTGTGTGTGTGTGTGTGTGTGAAAGAGAGTGAGGCGGTGGAGGGGAGGGACACATAGGAGTTTACATAATTATTCCCGTTTATAAGATGAGTCATATTTAACGAGTCGGTGAAATATCGTAGCCGAAAAGGGAAATGACGTTTGGCATTCTCGTGCGCCGTCAAGGCGAGCTTGGAGAATTGTGAGCACAGGTGTGGTGTCACACAGTGCGCGCGCATAGCGAAAAGCTGGCTGTATTTTTCTCAACGCTGGGATCATTGCTCCGGTGGCGGTACTTTATTGAGCATTGATTAGAAAGCCGGAGAAAAATCGGACTATTGGAGGTGCAGATCGGCCTGGCGAGATTTCGTTGGTCCGCGCGCGCGCGCGGAACCGGTTCTCAATTTATTTCGAATAGACACGACATTATCCGCATTAGACTTTCGTAGGGGATTGGTTGTTGCGCCGCGATAAAAGGCATTAAATTGATTTAATATCGAACCAAGTGGTACACACGCGCGCCGTGCTCTCTACCTGCGTCTGTATCTTAATCGCGACTGGTCTTGAAGCGAATTTAGATAAGAGCGATATTTATCCTGCCGGCTTTAGCCTCGCTCGGCGAATCAAAGCACTGATTCGTTATCCGCAGGAGACACCAAGTCCCTCGCCGAGACGAATCACGATAACGCTCGGATATGAACACATTGTCGCGTTAAACTCGTTAAGGGGCTCGCGCGGGGGATATATCTGTATTCATCTCGAGCAAATTTCTCAATTGCTAGTCAGCTCTCTCCGAGTGCGAATCTCGGTGCTGCACGTGCAAAATTTGTCGAGTCGCAGCAAGTTGAACTTTCTGCGTTTATAAATATTCTCCGCACGTTTCACGTGCGCCGACATAATTTTACTTCTGCGTTTGCCAAGTGTATCGGCAGCGGCTGTCGACTGATCCTTTCAGCGAGATCTTACCGATTGCAGTGATGTAGTTCCGACTTGTGCACCAACTTGTGCACAAGTACGTGAGTTACGTCTTGTAAATGTAACATTTCAGTGAGAATACTCTGAAAGCACTGATTGCGCTCTAGAGAGAGAGAGAGAGAGAGGGAGAGAGGGAGAGAGAGAGAGAGAGAGAGAGAGTGCGGCTGACACCTTCGCACAGGGCTTTGAATTAGAAACTTGAAACAGGGCTAGAAGTGTGCGCTCAAGAAGGCTCTACTAGTCGGGAAACAGAGCGACGCGTCTCGCAGGAAACGCGGCCGTGTTTAGGGTTAATGGATGACCAATGTTGAGCGCGCTATCGGGCCACCGTTCGTCTTACGCTTTTTGCGCGCGATTATCGGACTGTCACCGGTCGGCTTTTAGCCGAAAGCGATATCAGCCGAGCGACGAGTCAAGAACGGCGAGCCAACGTCCCGATTTTAATCCCTCACAGCCGACTCCCGCTTCCCCTCAATCTTCGCCCCCGCCCACGGCCTAATGTGCGGAACGTGCGTTTCTGTCACAGCCCGCGGCTCGGCTTCTCTCGATTTTACGATCATCCGGGTCGAGCGACAGTCCGGAGAGACCCGGCTTGGCCTTTTCGCCGGCCGTCCCCATTCACTTTCGCGTCGCCATTCAGAGAGCCTCGGAGTAGACGACGCTGCCGCGAAATCCGACCGAAAAGGGGGTGAAAGGGGGCGAAAAGGGAGGCGTGATCGAGGATAAAGAAAGAGAGAGAGAAGAGAGAGAGAGAGGGAGAGGGAGAGGGAGAGGAGAGGAAGGACCGGAGGAGAACGCAAGAAGGAGGAAGATACGATCGTCGATGCCGATCTCGCAACCGGTACAGCGAGGACTGGTTTTTCGTCGCATGCACGGAGGTCGGCAGGCGCTTTTTTTGTCGCTCTTTTCAGCTGGTCGCTCAGTGCTGCTTATACAGTGATAAATAAACACTGCAGGCCCCCTCGCGACTCTGCCACTACGCCGTGCCCGTTCCCGATCCGATTTCATCCGACCAGATCGGTCGTGACGCGCGTCGATCCGTCGTCACGAAGGAACATCACCGGCGTGTCGCGTCTCCCGATGACTTATCCGCTGCGGGAAATGCATCGCGCCATGTCGAGCAGAGAATTTTTCCGGGAGATGTCAACATTTGCGCATTCTGAAGCAGCGCCCGGCTGTGATACAGGTGAAACGTCTAATAGCCAATGCTCTGCGCGGATTTTATCGTGTGATAAGGCGTATGAGGGTTGATTATTTATGAATGAATTATTATTTGTTCATTTATTTATTTTTTATCCACACACATACACGCGCGCGCGCGGTCGTTTGATAAGACCGCGCGAGAGTTGCCCGAAAACTGGCAAGGATCGCGCAAAGAATGCTGGACGTTTCTCCCGGCTTTCTTACATCACGGAGAACACTAGAAGATGTGTGGCGGTGGCATCCTTCGAAGGCGCAGGGAAACGATTTTACGTGCGATGTAAATTTTCATACCGCGAAGTACACGAGATGGCTGGACAGACAGACGGTGATCGTCGTGACATATAAACTTGCAGTTAAGAATCCCGGTCGTGCGATGCAGCGTGGTCCAGTGAGAGAATGTTCTCCGCGCACTTGCGCGAATTGATCGCCGATTCGCTTCGCGCGAGGAACCGGTGAAAGCCGCTCGTCGAACTTTTCCATCGCGGCGCGGCGCGACGCGGCGACGAAAATCAGAATGTGCACTTTACATGCATGGATTATTATCTTGCGAAACTCTGGCGGGACGTGCGCGCACGCAGGGACCTTCTCCGGGGACTCTTACGTCCCGTCGTAACCGGGATCATTAAAATATCTCACGTGTATCGGCTGATTTCCCTAAATGTCGCGAGTGCGACGCGTTGCGTAACGCGCCCGCGATGACCCGAAGACGGCAGAATTGATTCCGCGACGTGGAATTCGCCGGGTCTCGGCGGCGGTGCTCGCGCTCTCGCGCCTTCATTTGTATCCATTTGTCAGGATTCGCGGCCGCTGCTCGTTAACGCCGACGTAAACGTGGCGATTAAATCGCGCCCGCGCGACGCGGAATCCGAGCGCGCGTGTAATCGCGCGCTACCAGACGAATAAGGTGAGACACACGCCAGGTGAGAGGGACATCGCGCGCCGCCCGGTTAAAATGACGGTGGTCGCGGCGAGCAAGTCCCCGTTTTTCAGATCCTCTCACGCGTGCCATTTGAGACGCGTTGCGCTCGTGTTGCGCAGCCTCGCCGTGGGTGATCGGATGAATAACCGTTCGCGCCTCGTCCGTTTGATAATGCTGGCTTTTGCGTCGTTTACTTTGCCGTAAATACGCCTGTCGCGCGGGACACCTTCGCGTGTCGATGAGCTCGTGCGTTGTGTGTATGTGTGTGTGTGTGTGTGTGCACTCACATCGTCGTCGTTTCGTTGGGCGATGCCGGCCTGCATAACGAGCGTACGAGCTCTAAGAGAGAAGGAGAGTGCGGGGGAGAGAGGTCGGAAGGGGCGAGAAGGAGCCACGTGGTCGCGCGTAGTCTCATCAAGATTTTCGTGAACACGAAACGAGATTAGTCACGCAGATTTAAGCGCGCGACTTTCGTGCCAAGAGAGACGGACGCTCGCTCGCGCGCGCGCGCGGCACCGATTTGTTCTACTTTACCGAACCGCGTGGGTTTGCTTGTAGAATGCTCGTACGTAGTTTTCCATAAGTCACCGGCTCAAACATCCGTGACGCCAGCCTGCGCCGACGATATCTCATTCTTCGTTCTCCTGTGCGCACGGACATTTTGTCCTCTCCAATAATCGGCCGTGAATATCGTCTTTATGTATGTTAAAGGTGTAATAATACAATCGAGGCCTAAAACCGACGAAGCGCGCTGCTCCCGACTAAAGTCGTCGCCGCCGCGAGAAACGCGTTAGAATCCGTGTGTTCATCTTCGGAGGGATATTCGAAAGCGATTGTAATGTACGAGTGTTCGTTGAGGAGGAGAAGGAGGAGGAGGAGGAGGAGGAGGAGGAGGAGACAAGAAAAGTCGCGTCCTGTTCACATAAACTACTGAAGTCACAGATACTTAACGAGATATTACCAATCATATTTCTCGTTATGAAGGGAGGGTCGGGAGGAGGGGATCTAGCACACACAGCCATTATCGCGCATTACACGCGAAGCGTGTGTAGATTTTGACGTGGATTTTGCGAAACCAGCACGATGAAACACATCAATTTCCCATCGGTTAATTTGAATACGAAAGCTTCCACGCGTTAGCGGGCGCGTGGTCGGTAATTTATAACATCATGAATTACGGAATGCAAGTGTGTGCGTGCGTGCGCGTAGGAAATCAAAGTCACGGCGAATCCATTCGGCGTGTACAAACTCGCACCGTAGCGGGCGCACACATGGTCGTTACCTCTGGCGAGTAAATCCCCAGCGGCAGGCAATTCCATGCGACTTGCCTATCGACGTCGCACGTTTGCATTATGCCTCTTCCGATTTTAGATCTTTCGACCAGGTTCAGCCGGGTTATCGGCGGAGATTAAGCTTTTGGGTCAGTTGTTGTTGGCTTTGCCATTTCTTATCGCGTTCCGTCTGCGATAGCCAACGGTGTTTTCGCATCTTCTGCATGTTTTGTATAGAGCGCTGCGACTAATATTGAAATTTATTTTTTCCCCGACACGCAACATTGTGAACAATTCCGACGTGTGGAAAAATAGACTCTCTCTCTCTCTCTCTCTCCCCCTCGCGAGGCTGCTGAATAAATACACCGTAAGAAAGTCTCTTTCTCTCTGCCCTTTCTTCCTCTCTTAGATACAGAAATAAATCACCAAACGTCCAACGCGTTGCAAACACTCGAGGGGGGCACCGGCAAAGAACCTCGCGTCGAGATAGATAGAGAAAGAGAGAGAAAGAGAGGGGGGGGGAAATTCCCGGCTTCCAAAAAAATGCCGCCCGTCGACCGCAATCTGCGAGGTGCATTTTCGTCTGATGATCGCCGCTCGCACACGTAGAGAATCCCATTTTGCACGGTGCACCTGCCGAGTGCCAACGCGCCAGGGCCACGACAAAGAACGTGCGTCGGGGGTCCGATTGTGATAACCGGAATGACTTCTTTTGAAACTCAAGGCCGTGCTGATGCTTGGCCGCACCGCGCACGCGACCTTTGACACCGCGTGCGCTTGCCCAGCGACACCTCTCACGGTATTCTTCCGATCCTCTTCTTTCACCAGGTTCACCTTGACGCACCAACGGCGCGTCCACGGGGCGAGAAAGTGCCGGGGCTTTGTCATTTTGTCGTGACGCTTCGTGTTCCGCGGCTGCAGGATAGAGAGAGAGAGAGGGGGGGGGGGAGAATATGTTTCCGCTTTAGCGGCCGCGACGGCGGCGGTATCTTTGTCGAGTCGTTGCGACGAAGGACGTTCGTTGGTCCCTCCTTGGATATCGCCGGTGCGTTCGATAAAAATCGACACTGGGCGTGTTGTGTCGTTTTCTCTTCTGCTTTTGGTCTCGCCACGATCTGCTCGCGCGCGGCCGGAATACATACTCGTATACATGCAGTCATTAACATTCTCCAGCGGGTAACGGGAACAGCTTGGCGCGGAAGTGCCTCGGAGATAACTGGAAGACAAACAATGGTAGACAAACAAGTCGATCCTCTCTCTATCCGGCTCTACCCTCTGGATTAAATCATAATGCAAACATCGTTCGTGAGAACCGTCTACCGCTCCTCCAACTGTCTCAGCCCTTTTGGATTTACCGGAAGAGCCCGCAGCCGGCTAACTGCGCCGGTTTCAGAAATACGTACATTCTCACGTAATCACTTTTCTTAGCTTTTCACGGGACCCGCGGGAACGGAGTATGTTTAACATGTTGAGTGCCACGTCAGCCGTATCCGGGCGACGCGTCAACTTTCCCCGTCGCTCGTCTGCGGCTGACGGTTTGATACTTGCCTAATTAGGAATGATTCCACCATGTCGAGTGTTTTATTGTTTTATTTTTAGATATTGTTTACTAGCGCTAGCAAGTTTTTATATAAGAATATCGATTATCATAAATTACGTTATTATCAGGAGCGATGTTACACTACATGTGTTATCATAGCGCATGGAGTTACTCGGGCGCGAGAGTGAGGCGTGAATTCCACACGTGGCACTCAACGTGTTAATAGCTTGTTATCCCGGATCTTTCGCGATGATAAATAACGCCTTACGCCTAAGTCTACAGACACCGGATAAAAAGTAGGCAATCGGTACTACAATCGAGAATGCGGCGGGCGATATGTTGTGAACGTGCTTGTGTTCCCTTCCCTCGTCGGGATATCAGGCTGCCACCTGAGTCAGAGAGGGGGGGGACGGGAGCGGGCGACTACGCGCGTCGGGGATTTGCATTTAATTTTCGCGGGTAATTACGCGTGACAGTAGCGGCCCCGGGCGTCCCACTAAATTAACGGCTACTTTGTTGCGCTGATACCGCGCGTGATATTGCGACTCCGTTTCGAGACCGCGGCCTGAAATTCCTCTCTCTCTCTCTCTCTCTCTCTCTCGAGATCGATCTCGGTCAGGTCGCGGCCCCGACGTCGCCGTCGCCGTCGAGCGGCGCGGGATGAGTGGGCCCCCCGAAGAGCGCGAGTACTCGGGCAATTTTGTGTATTATTTTATTGATTCATTATCAAACGCAGTGCACTCGCACCGTATACTGCGCATATTTATATAATCCTTTGGCTTGGATATGTAGCGTAACACAGGGACTGATACCATTTTCTCTGCAGCTAGACCGGGGATATGTTGAAAACGCGCAGGCAGGCACGGGGGGAGCGAACAGTGGACGAACAGTGAACATTAAGACGGGACATTAAACATGATGAATGCGCGCGTGGCAAGCTCGACACACGTGCGGTTTCATACAAAGTTACACACGAAACGTCTTCTTCTCGCATCTCCTCCTCGCGTGCGTGTGTTCGCCGCCTTCGCCAAAGTGGCCAAAGGTCACTCGAAATGCGCGCGATCGACGTCTCGCGGTCTCAGCGTGTAACAGTTATTTCGAACGTGCCAAGATATCGGGGCTCTGTTCCTTACTTATAAATACAATACGATATTAAGAAATGTCTCGACATCGATTAACGATTGGTGTGACTTTTGCTAGTTTCTACATCGGTATTAAAGTTTACACTCTCGATACGCGACTGATCGGAACGCGGGTCTACCTGCATGAACGCGAATGGTTTCCGGCGATATATATTGCAGAGTCGACAGTCAAGGCCGCTGCACCTTGAAGTCTGTCAAAAGAGAGGGAAGTCACAGAACGCGGGTTCTCCTTTTCCTTTTTTTTTGTCTGACAATCAATTTAAGTACAAATGGTGGGGATGCGGGCAATTTGTCCTTTTGTTGTTTTATTTTTGCATCGGCCAGAAGAAATCTCACGAAGTGGAAAACGTCTCGCTGTGGGAATCGCGCGCGTCCGCTGCGATCAGCCGGATATCTCGAAGACGTACGTCCGCGAAGTCGACGAACGGGACCGAAGACCCGATCGAGCGATCGCCACGGCGATAGAGTGGCTACATTCACGACGCGCGATCGTTATCGGACACCTCGTGGTATGCTCGTACTTTCGTTTCTTGATCGAGAGTCGAAGGATCGAAGGGTCGAAACCCCTCTCCCGAATCCCGCCGCGACTCTACGTCCGTTTCGATCGTCCGCGTTTCAGCTTCACAGCATTCTCATGGACAGTAACAGTACCCCTAACGCCGCGCTCATCGCCAACATCGTCGCGGAACCCAGCACGGATGCGCCCGATAGGTCCAGTTGCTTCTTCAGGTCTTCGGGCACGTCTACGTAGACTTTGTCGATGCCCACGTCCTGGATCAGCTTCGAAAGCTGCGCGACGTTGACGGAATCGCCCTCCGACGACCAGATGGTCAGTGTCGCGTTGTCGGACGTCGTGTTCTTCAGCAATACCTTCACGGTTTCGATATCGTTCGCCGCGAGGCCGGCTCGTACAGGATAAGTTACCGACTGTTTGATCTGCTTCTCCGCGAGCACGTCGGTCATCATCTTGATCTGCTCCGGAGTATATCGACCCTCGGTGATGTTGTACTCCTTCCCGTATCTGAAACGATTCAGTTTCTCAGCATCTCTCGCACAGTCGGCTCGGGCGGGCTGAATCTCGCTCCGACCCGAATTGGAACAAATTGGAATTAAAATCCCCTCTTTAGCGCGATGGTTCGGGAAATTACATTTGTAGGTAAATATAACGTAATCAAACGGACATCAAACGACTCGAAAATTGTTTGGACGTTTACACTCGCTGTAGTATACGCCTGGCCGTCTATCTACTTTTGTATCCCATACTATTCCCTAGACTGAGAGTTGGACGATCTTTTCAGAGGAGCTTTACACACACGGCGACAGTAGGTCGAAACTATTAAAACTAAAGGGTCACTGTAAACCTGCAATTATAACTAGAGTTAACTAGAGTTACTTGTACGTTTTTTTAATTGTACGTGTGTAGAGCTGTGAAAAGCATGAAAATCATTTTTAATCCAAAATATGGTAAGGCACACCTCAGAGCGAATGATGCTGCTCGTACGAGTGTCAAACGCGCGTGAAAGGGTGAGAACGAAAATTGCACGCGTAGCCCAAATTATAACGGTCGAGTACAGATGAGGGCGCGTGTACCTCGTGACGATTTTTCTCGACCTCAACCCTTCTTGTCGTTGACAAGTTTAACATTTTATTGTTTCTTTCGGTTCACTGCTTGCCGAGATATCCGTGTTTACCCGCGATATCGACGTTTAACGCGCGCGTACTTTATTGGATCGCCAGGTTGACCGCCTCCTCGGGGACTTTATTTATAACCACCGGTCTTTTTTTTTTTTCATAAGAGTCCGTGCCACGGCCATCGTACATATTTCTTTGCCTATACGGTTAATTAATCACAAGGTTGTACATTAGAACTCGCTGTCGCTCTGTCCGTTGCGCGCTCTTCAATATTTACCTGGTCGTCCAGCCGACGGAGAGGGTACACTCTGGAATGGTCTCCACGGCGCCCTCCAGGAAATCCTTGGCGTTAACCGGAATAGCAGTGGCGTTCACCGACCCGGAAAAAATATCCGCGTTGATGAAGACCGGGAACTTCAACTGGACAAACGAATATTTGATTCTCTCTCTCTCTCTCTCTCTCTCTCTCTCCTCTCTTCCTCGCGCACATACTTCGCGTTTCGATACTCCTAAATAGCGCATTTCAATGTACGTACGTTGGCACGCAACTTGGTGAGGATCGGTCTGCTTTTCTCGAACGCCTGGATAGTCTTGAAGTCCAGCTTGATTCCCTTGGTGCCATTATTCTGGATGGTGCTGTTGAGGAACTCCTCGAGCGACAGGTCGCTCTCCTTGCTCGGTGGATGCGCCATTATCGGGATCTCGGCGATGCTGCTGTTGTCGGTTTCGTTAAGCTTGCCTAACACGACGTCGGCCTCCAGCATCATGATGTCGTCTTTAAAAAGGAAAGTCGGTTGTCCGCGCCGGCTCCGTGTGCGTGTGTGTGTATGTGTTACGTGCGACGCGGCCGTGGTTGAGACGACGGCTGGGCGGAGGGGGTTACGGTATGTGCATACACGTGCAGGGAATATCGATCACGTCTAAAGAGGCTGGAAGACTATGCCGGATCCACACATCCGCCGGGGAGCTGGCGCTCAAATGACCGAAAATTCCGGCTCTTTTCACAAACGGAAGACTGGAAGCGCTCTCGAAAGCATCAGGTCGCTCTAGAGCCAGGGCCGGGGGGAGGAGGGAAAGGAGAGAAAGAGAGCAATTCACGATATGAAGAGGCGAGTAGTACGCGCGACATTTTTTCCCCCGCGGATATCAAAGTGACCAGCGCGCGTTTTCAGCTTGCAGAGGCTGGCAGAGGCTTCAGATTGCGAGAGGAAAGATGAACGTCGCCCTCCCCGCGACGCGAGGTTCGAGAAGCGGCCGATTTAGCCGAGGCGGCGCGGCGTCGGCCGATAAACGCGCGCGCGCGCGGCAGTGCGTTCAATCGCGAGATATTCGGTGATTGAAGGTCGAGGATCGGAAGCTCGACCTTCCTGCGGAGCGGCGACGGCTCCGTTGGCACCGCCGGTGGGCGGCATTCTCCGCTACCTTGGTGTTACCTCGTTGAGATTCAAGAGAGGCGCGAGTGTACTTTCCGAAAACTCTGCATCGGACGTGACTGCGTACAAATGACTTATCTACGAGGGCGTCTGGTCGTAGTAGTACAAAGGTGGAAAACTTAAATAGCGAGCGAGCGAGATGGAGATGCGGAGGAAGGGAGAGGAGAAGGGTAGGAAATCTTCCGAGCGCAAAGTTCACGGGAAAGTTTGCAGCCAACTTCGGAATCGGCATCCAGCCGGAATCGAGATACGCCGCGACGTAACATATATCAAAGGGATAGGGACGAGGGGGGGAGGGCAGGCGGGCTAAGGTGCGCCACCGTTGGGAGGGGGGGGGATGGTAATGCGAAACAAATCGATGTAACTCGTATTTTACGTAGGACCGGCCGAGCTTTTGCGCGAGTCGCGTGAAGGGAGTCCCGCGTGAAGGGAGAGAACGCGCGCAGACGCTTCATAAAGCTTTCTCTCGCTCGCTGTCGATATTTCTGGAAGCGCACTTTTCAAGGACTCGCCACCATTATTTAAAGCGCGCCGATGTAAAAATACGTGTCATCATGCGGGCTGCGCACAAAGGCGCGCCGCACACGGCCGGGCGATATGGGGGATAGCCGTGAAAGCGACGAGAGAGAGAGAGAGAGAGAGAGCGCGAAAGCGTCGACATTGAAGGGCTCGCGTCTCGCGCCGTTCGGTGTGTGTAGCGAGAAATGTTGTCATGAAGTCCCCATTAACTAGTAACATGTTGACGGTCGATTTCGAGCGCGAAAGAGCCGCGCTGCGCCGCGCCGCGGGCGCGACGTTTTCGCCACGAAGTTACGCACTTGTCGTCTCTCGCGGGTATTAAATATTTATAGCTCGGCTATTGTCCGTTCGCGAGCAAATTACTTCTAAAGTGCTCGACTCGGGCTCGAGCGGCGGGAGGAGGGGGCCGGCGGTGTTTGTCGCGTATCGCTGCGCGATTAACGCGAGTATATGCGCGAGCAAGGGGCGAGAGACAGGACATCAGTCACACCCGCGCGTATCGTCCTTCTGCATTTACGTAAGGTATCGCGGCATAGGCATAGGCTGACACCGTCCAGGTGAATCACTTAGAGCGTCTTGTTGCGCAACCGTCACTCATCTGCAGCTGTCTTTTGCAATCTTATTGGCGCGACGGTGTTAACGCGCGCCGGTGCGAATAAAAGCCCGCTGTGGCGAGCGGCCGTTCGGAAGTTTCCACGACAGACGATAAAGCAGCTCGGATGATAAGCGAGAATCCCGAGTTTCCGCTGCGCCTAAAAATAATACGCACGCGGACCCATGCGGACACGGTCGCGCGTTTATTAAAGCGCCGCCGCGCCGACGTCTTTTCGACGAACAGCCGGGCGAACCGGCTGGATATTTGAGGCTAACCGGAACTAAGCCGTCGTCGTTCGTCTGCGCTCTGCAATAAACGCAGGAGCGGAAGCAACCGGAGGGCTTGTCCGCGTCGTGCGTCAATTACACGCGTCAATTACAACACGCGATCGACCTACCTGACGAGAGTGCCGCCTCCAGTTCCGCTTTGCTGTTAACGGCGTGCGCCCAGACGATCTTCGTGAGATTGCCTTTGACGTCGGGGAAGAAGTTCCTCGGCTCCGGCGAGACGACGTTGCACATGACGGCTTCTGAAACAGCGGCGGGAAGTATTACGTGTCGGGACGGACAATACACCGGTCGCGTCGCGGCGCGGCGCGGCCGCTCGCGTTTGCATTTCGCGCGCGAGAGCCCGGCCGGACTTGACCTTCCCCATCAGTATTCTCCCGAGACTCCGCGACCCCTGACCCAATATTCGACAGGCTCGCTCCGTAATTGAGCGGACCGTGAATTCCTCGCGGCGGCGGCGGCGGCGGCGGCGGCGGCGACCGCCACGCGCACTCCGACTGTTCTCGCAGGCGACCGAGATATTCGTTGCCCTGCCATTGTGCGGCGTTCGATCGATAATCACGTTCATTTGTCACTCGGTCTTTATGAGCGGCTGCCATTCGGCCGTTTCAGCGGCGGCGATTCGCGGGTCGTCGCGGTCGGCGAACCGAGAGGAGGGGAGGGGGAGGTGGTCATCGCGTCGTCCGTGGACAGATATACCGTTTCCCGCGACGACGACGCTGCTGCTGCTGCTGCTGCTGTGCTTCTTCTTTTTCCCCGTCGAGATTTGCCAGCGTCGCGCCGATGCGCACACGAATCGCCCGCGTACGTGCGGACGTCGCGACGCGCTTCGGGGACGTCGGGATGAATTAATGAAGGGATATCGCGTCGTCGCCGTCGTCGCGCCGTGAAATTTTCCACGGCCGCCCGGCCGGACTCTCCCGCCTTTCTCCTCGCCGTCGTGGCCTCCGCTTCCGACCGTTTCCGGCACGGATCCCGGGCCATGTGGCGAGCAAATTTCGCGCGACGAATGACCCCTCGGAGCAGATTGCGAGGGCGATTGGTCTCCCCGTGGAGGAGGAGGAACCCCTTCCGAGAGAGTCGGTCTTTTTATGAATGACTAACGGAGCTCGCGCGGCGGGTCTCGAGGCTCGAGGTTAGAAAACCAAGCGGCAATGTTTGACGTTGCGTTGGATTGTAACGGACGGATCGTCCGCTGGCAAACATCGAGCTCATCATATCCCCTTCGAGTTTCTTATTGACAACCTATCCAATTGTATCCTTCCTCGCCTCCTCCTCCCCCCTCCCCCCTTTGTCTCCTTCTTTCGATCTCTGTTTCTCTTATTCTGTCTTTTTCTCTTCCCTTCTGGAAGAGAAAACGACAGCACGTCCCTGAACAAGACGCGATTAGCGATGCGGGTATGTCATGTCAAAGTCACATGCCGATATCGACCGTAATAAGAAAGTTCCAGCGGCTAATCAGCTTGCGAGCCCGAAGCCGAAGGCTTGTTCCTCGTTCTTCTGTACTCCGACACTTCGTAACTGGAGCACGAAAACTTGGCGGGGGGGAGCCTTCACCTTGCGTAAGTCGCAGCCCGGCCCTTAAATTAGCGCCGCTCGTTCATCTGTCCGGGATTTATCGCGCGCACAGCCTCTGTTTTCCGCAAAACTTTTCTGAAACAGCCTCTCCCTTGCACGAGAAGAATCGATTGCGGCCGCACCGATGATTCCGACTGACCCGTTTCCGGTTCGCCGATCACGGGGTGAACCGGGATTCGCTCGCGCCGACCAATGGAGAGGAGACGCTGAGCCGCCTTTTTTGTTATTTTCTTTTTTAAGCACTAATAACAGCCTTCTATATATGCGCATCGCAACCTAGTTTACGTTTGATAACTGTCCGAGCATTTCGATATTCGTACGTTACGCTTACGTATATCTCTCGATGAGGTGAGGTTTCGATTTCTCTTTCTCCTTGTACGAAAGTTTACGTTGCGGCGAGGAGCGCGGGGAGAATTTTGCGCGGTAACAATTGCGTTAAAATTATATCTCTTTTCATAATATTTCTGATGAAAACAGACGGCACCGTCGCTGTAAATTATTGTAAGAGCGGTAAATCTGACGAATTGCCGAATATGCGATGTACTACACGTCGCTAAAAATTACAATACATCGTAACAATTGCACGATCGATAAATTAACTTGTGACGCGACGAGGTTGATAATAATAATTACGCACAGCCAAATGCGTTCAAGTTGCACAGCCTGTGTGTTTTGTGGTTTGTGGGTTGCGGAGATATGATTCGGCTGCGTTTCGTCTTGGCGAGCCGAGAGACGCAGGATTTCCTGTTTTAGAAGCTTCCTCGTATAGGGATATATGAGTGTTGGTTCAAACTTTCTGATCTGATCGCGTGTGCTTCATTGGTTCCATAATAATTTCATAATCTCTACGCGTTCCAAGGTTACAAAATTTCATCACAATCTTCCACCACACAGTGTTCCCCCCGCGCACAAAGGAAACCGAGAAGGAGCACGTACACCGACGTGTGTGGCTATCAGAAATATTTTCGCCTTACGCAGTGATAACGTCTCGCAATGCGCGTGCGATAATTCAATTACGACCGAAGCATGAAAAGAGAAAGAAAAGAGTCGATATCCAATTGCATTCGTGGAGCGCTGACACAATAACGAACTTAGCGGCCACTCCCGGGTTAATCTAATGACATTCCAGCGCAGCTAATGTTTGTTCGTGCTTTAGACACATGATAACGAAGGAATGACTCATCGGATGGCATTCGGCTTCGCGTCACGTGACGTCACGTAAATGAGTCTTAAATTCATTTTTATCCCCGTCCTTTACGAGGTTCGACGTGCGTCGAGTTTTCACGCAGCTCTCTTTCTCTCTCTCTCTCTCTCTCTCTCTCTCACACACACACACACACACACACACACACACACACACACACACGCGATAGCATTATCGAGGAGAGAAGAGGCAGCCGGGGGTTTGTACATCTGTGCGTTCGACCCCTCCGAAAAATCCTCGAGCTCCTTCGTGTCGCGCTACGGCGAACGTATCGGCGCTACAATGTCTTCGAAACGGCCGTTTCCGGTTCAGCGGTTCCACACAGAGACTTTACTGTGTGTGCTCGAACCGGTCGGATCACGGGGGGAAAAACTCTAAGAGAGAGGGGGGGAGAGGTCCTTCTTTTTTTTTGTTACGAGCGGTCGGGGTTCGACCGAACGCTATGAGATCGAGACGAAACTGACCTCGCTCTCGGGCTCGGGAGAATAAGATTGGCCGGACAATCGATCATCTGTTTCCTCGGCCTCTGGTCGGTACAATGGCCACCACGATCGCGGCTACGTGCCGCGTAGCGGCTGCGATTTCGCGCGTGTTTCGCGCGCGCGCGATTAGAGTGTTTTTGATACGTGATCGTGTTGATACGCCGGTGTCGCGTGTCCGTGCGTGACGCGTGATAACGACGCGCCCGGCTCGGCTCGGTCGGAAATATTTCATCGCGAAAGATGCAGGAGAGCAGGAGAGCAGCCAGAATCAAAGTTGCCGTCGCCGTCGTATCGAGGGGGGAAATAACGCTCGCCGCTCTCGTGAGCGCCGACCGAGTTGGCATATTCTTAGCTGCGTATAATAACGCACCTGCGACTATTAGTTGTGTACCGCGCAGGAGCTGGATTATAATAACGGGCGCGGGTGTAACTGCCGCGGAGAATAATATACCGGGCGCGGGGCGAGGGGGGGAGTTTCCGCCGCTTGAAATTTCCCGTGCAAAGTCTCTCATTCCTGGCAACTTCGCCGAGCGTGACGGCGCGCGGCGTCGCGAATATCAGCCCGCGAATATCGGCCGTTTTTCATCCGTCCGGGCCGTGTCGTCTCTAGCGCCACTTTATCTCGCGGCCTGTATTTTCTTAGCCCGTAGCCGACGCGAGTACCTCGGCGTCGAGGATGTAGCAAGGATGTAGCGCGGGGAAATCGAATCAGGCTTCCAGCCGCGTGAACACCACACCGCCGGCGTCGGCGTCGGCGTGGCCGCCTTTCGCGATACAAAAGAAGCCGATGGCCCTGGTGGTCTGATAAAAGCATCTTTCACGCGTCACTGCGCCTCCGTGTAGTTTGCAAATAGCTGCGACTACCGTTCTCTTCCGCTTAGAGTGCGCTTTTGAAGGTTCAGCTCGTCTGGCTGGCCGGTCGGTCGGCCGGAGCCGAGCCTCGAGAGAGTTTCGCCCTTAGTCAGCCGGCTGACAAAGCGTGACTTATGGCCGCGTCTATTATCGAAGAACTTGGACCTCGATCGCGCTAGAAATCGCCGCGCGCGATCAAAAACAGCAATTTCGAACTTTATGAGGACTTTGACACATCTCGGGTTTACCTGACGCGGAATTTCGCGTCAGTCGGCTGTATGTCGAAAAGTTTCTTCGTAGAATTCGAGAGCTCGTTTGAGACACAGTCAATGTTTCTAATCTCTCTCTCTCTCTCTCTCTCTCTCTCTCTCTCTCTCTCTCTCTCTGAGACACCGAAGAGATTCGCGCAGAAAATTGCCCGGCAATTCTCGTCCTTTCCAGCCGCCCGAATTCGACGGGTTCAAATTAGTTGAATCGACTTCGTAGGGATCGCGTTCGCGAGGCAGTCGATGCTTCTAATCATCCTCGAAGAGATCCGGATGGAAAGTTACCCTCCAGCAATTTTCACCCTCCCGTGGTAGCGACACCGCTATCGAGTTGGACGAGTATCGAAATTAGTTTAATTGCTCCGCGCGACATTGATGATTTATGACCGAGTAGCTGACTCGATCACCTGCCGAAACGGAGAGAGTGTCGCTCTCAAGTGTTAAGAGTCCCTACGAATTCTGGCGATTACCGTATCGCTTCCGCGCGAATCGCGCGTTCGACGAATGATTTATGCGTGTCATGAGACCGAGTGGAACGCCGCGACAGGCCGCGATGTTAAACAAACGCCAGCGCGATACGACGAACGTCTGATGGGCCACCTGTCACGCTTGTTCCACGCTGTTCAAACTGTCAACGCTGTGTCCCGGCTATTCTTTACGCAAAGCGCAATGTCATGTCGCTTTCTCCAAAAATCGATCACTCCAATATTTACCGAAGGTATCGCGAAGGTATGCCGTAGTAACGCGCGGCGTTCCGGGCACGTCGGAAGTGGTGCCTGCGGCTCGAGCGGAAGAATGCACGACCACGAGTCCACCACGATCGCGAGACTCGCGATCGTTCGCGCAACGCGACGAAAATTGCGCAATTTTGTTGCGGCAACGAGACTAACGACGAGCGGCTGCGAGCCGAGCTTGTTTGCCGAGTGAATCGCGCGCAGTCGTTTGCGAGATTGCAAATGTCGCCGTACTCGCATTGTATCGCGCGCAGCACACTTTGTTACTCCGCGGAGAGACCTTGCGGCTGCCATTAAATTATAACGGAGTTTAAGGGCGCAATTACGAGCTTCCATTGCAGTTCACGTCTCTCGAGCGTCTGACAAAGTTCGCAGGCGACGTCGGCCGAAACGAAAGATTCCACGAAGTAGCCCGACGTAGAATCGCGCCTGTAAAATATTGACGGCCAAAGTCCACCCTTCGAACAAACTGATCAATTATAGAACGCGCACCTCTTCCCGGCGAGACTTCACAGACGTCACACACATGCCTGCGATGATAAATTCACGCGATTCTTCCCTCGCGAGAGTTATAATCGAGATTGGACGGAGAGTGGAGTGCGGGCAGCTCTGCTCGTGTTCACAAGGATCGCGTCCCGTCGAGTCGAAGAAAAGCGACCGGATCGCCCGCTCGTTCCCAGCGACTTTTTCCAGCGAGAATGCGCGCACCTTTGCGCGTCTCACTCGGTACGCGTTGTGGGAAGAGACACGTCCCTTCGCCGCCACGTCGTCCCACTAAATTCGGGTTCTGCTAATGTGTTATGCTAATGACATCTCATTGTGCTTACATATTTATTGCACAAATGCTTATTCTCATGAAAGCAGCGAAATCGTTACTGAACGGGCAAGTACAAAAGATCGGCCCCCTGTGTGCCCCTGTGTCCCCCTGCGAAAACTCACGCGTCACCCAGATGTGGATGACGTGGCGCAGTCGAGGATTAATTTCGAAAACTCCCGCCTGGCTTTGCGGCGCCGACAATAGCGACGGCCGTTTCGTCGGACGAGAGAGAGAGAGAGAGAGAGAGAGAGAAAGAGAGAGATCTGGCGAGCGGCGTATCGAGAAATCGCATTGTTTCTCACGCGAGACAACCGCGCTACGCTCCGCGATCCTCGCGGTTCACGGTCGAGCGTGGATCGCGATTCGCATAATCGATTGGCAAATGCGTCGCGGCTCTTACAGCCGAAGTCAACGAGCGTGGCGGCGGCGGCGGCGGCGGCGGCGGCGGCGGGAAATTTACGGCCGCGGTATCGCGGCCGGCCGAATCCGGCCGTTCTCTCGTACGTAATCTTCCCTCGACCCGCGCCGAAGCGGAGTGCAGACGCACGCAACGCGTGCTACGCACCTGCATTCCAACGTGCCGCGCAGAAGAGAGACGGGAAGAGAGAGCCTTATCTGCTTCGCTTATCGCGAATAAACACACCATTATCGCGCGTATTATTTCCATTTCACCTACACGCGCCTTCTTCGTGCCGCAACTGGGACGCGATCAGAACGCGGAGAGACGAGATGATCGCGCGTGACGGTGTTTTCCGCTGCCGGTGATTCTCCACGATGCAGATAAGGGCGCCGCGGCGACGTCGCTCCTCGCGTGGGAGCGATCCTGCTTATCGGCCGCGCGCGCTCCTCGATCGTTCGGTCTCCAATGGGATTCCGATGTCGTTTCGGGCATGTCGTAATAACGCAAATTACGTATCGCCGTGCGCTGCGTAATAACGTCCCAGCCCCCGGCCCCCCTCCCCCCGGGGGGGTATCGCGCTCTTGTTTTCGCCATTTAGCTCTCGTATTTACGTCGCTCCCACGATACAGTCGCTCGCACGGAAAGTCCATTCGCGAGCGACGAGAGTCGGGAGCTTGCGCTTCTCGTTGTTAATAATAAATCTCGGCAGTCGAATCGGTGAGAGAAACATAATACACGATCGCACGATTGTGTCATCGTCGCTGTATTGATGATGTGTGATGCGGCGCGCAATGGCGACCGACGCGAAATGTATCGCGCGATGTTACTCGCAGATTACTCTTACAACTGCTGTAACATTTTGCACCTGTGTGTTGTCTCTGCATTTTGATCAACGCACTTGAGTGTCCTCGGTACACTCACACGCACGCACGCACGCACCTCGCTATTCCGACGAAGATCATTAACGAGTGCGCGCTATGTCTTTGATATAGAATTACGACACCTCGTTAACCTCGGTCAGCGAATAAATTTGCAAACGATGCGCTATGTGATTGCTGACTCGGGCGAGTAATTAATTGTCCCTTAGTCATGAGAATTCATTTCCGTAATGGCGGGCGCCGTATGACTCACGTCGAGGTCGCTCCCGAGAGTTTGGACTTTTCTAACGTTGTGAGAGGCCGCCTGCTGGTCGGTTTCATTTTCGCGCCGATAGCGCGCCGACCGACATCGTCCGTCCTTCATCGTGCTTTTCGCGAGAGTCGCGTTTCACATGGCCGACGTCCGTGCTCATCTTCCTGGTTACCGCCGTGGCTAGCCCGCTGACGATCGATGTCGTCACTTCCGATGTGTATCGCCGCTGCGAGCAGAATCGTACCGAGAGCGCGTATCCTTTTTATATCTCCCGTGTGACCAAGTTAGTAGTCCGCGGGCGTGGACACGATAGGTGCAGAGGAAATCGCTAAAAGCGATTTATTTTCGTACTACTTTCGCGCGGTATGTAAGTTACATGCCGCCAACATCGCTATGGTGTCACGGCGTTCATCTATTTTTGCGGACGCTCCGTTTGTAAGCAACGCGCGGCCGTGTGCCGGCGTTGCCGAAGGTACCACCACGTCGTAACGCGTACCTTTGACCGACCGCCGCGTTTATCAGCGACGGTAAACTAAATTGCAAAACTACGATGATACTGCGACAGCCGTATCACGTTGGTCCGTAACGGTAAAAAATGACTACGCTCGACTGGAAGTGCCCTTCGGGCAGGAAACTTTGGTTTTCTCGAGGAATCACCAACGAACTCTCTCGCACACCCGTTAATTACTTTTCGATGATTGATCCCTCGGTTTTGCTCGCGTGTTTATGAACAAAGAGACAAGGGGGAGGGGGGAGAAAGAAGAGAAGCGTACATTCGCCGTCGGTGGCGACGAGAGAAAAAGAAAATCGGCGGAGAAACGACGCGCGCGGTAACGACTGGCCCGGAATTAAGATCGCACTTGCGGCGCGCAAGCGGCGGCGGGTGAAATTAAGCACTAATTCAATGTAAGATAGAGTAGAGAGAGAGAGAGAGAGAGAGAGAGAGAGAGAGAGAGAGAGAGAGAGAGAGGCCTCGGTGGCCGAGAGAGCGCCAATGTGTATAACACGGTAGACCGACGTGCGTCACCGTGAGATTATTATTAGCGATCGACCGACGGTTCTCGGATGAGGATTTATTACGTGTCATCGTACATCTCGAAGACCGCGTCCTCCGATCTCGCGAGTCTCGACCCCTTCCGTCCCGGAAACCTCGTAATGGCGTCAATCTAGGATCTCGATCCCCGGGGAACCTCGCCCGTCGTTTATGTATCGCGCGCGAGCGAAAGAAAACTTAATTGTCTACAATCAGCGTTCACCAAAGTTGACCCAGCCGATGTGCCGCGTTCCCGAGGACTTCGAGCCTCGTTATCGTGCTCCGTGAAGTCCGACTCTCGTCGCACCTCGAGCCCTGCCGCCTCCTAATTGGAGCATTGGAGTAAGCTGCAAATTGATTTAAGCGCACCAAGCTGCGAACTTTCCGCAGCGCTACGTCGGCGCGATTTTCCGCCGGGAATCGCGCTCTTTCGCGCGTCGCGCCGTGTCGGCACATCCGAATCGCAAGGAAAGATCGTTCCTCTTGCTCCCCCCCCCCCCCTCCTCCCGAACCCCATTGTCTCTTGCCTCGAGGGGGAGGGAGAAAAGCGGCACCTTTCTCCGCTTCGTTGCGGACCTTAATTTGCGGAGGGATCGCAGCGCGCGACTGCGTTATCGTAGTCATCGAGTCGTTTGTTTTCGGCGACTCGTCTTAATTAAACGTCGGCCGTAGCCTCTCGCGCGCGCGAGCGTGCAGGGATGCAGGGGGAGAGGGCACTCTCTCGGCGAGAGAGAGAGAGAGAGAGGGAGAGAGAGAGAGAGAGAGGAGCTCTTTGCCGTGACGGCGGATGGGCAAACGCGCGACGGAAAAAGAAAATCGATATATCTGTCGGAGAAGAGGGGCGGCGGCGCGCACGGTTTCCCGATGCACACGAGGAGATGTGCCGCCGCGCGTTTACGACGGAGAAAGATACTCCAGACCCCCGATTTCACGATCTGCTAAGTGTCGGGCTCGTAGCCGGCGCGCGCGGGATGTCGCTTTAAAATAGGATCGATACGCAACGGCCGGTTTCTCTCTCTCGCGCGGAGCGCCGGCCGGAGCGCTCGAGAACCCCGCCGCTTCGCGAGCGAGTCCATCGCGCCGTCGTCCTCGCGCGCGCGGACTCACCGGACTCACCCGTCGGACGTCCCGTCGGCAAACCGCGGGCCTTGCACCACGTGTGCGCGTCAATCAAAGCCGAGGAGAGACGTCCGCGGCTCGCTATCGCAAAGCGTAGCGTTCACGTGTACATTGCGAGACACGTCGCGGCGAAGCGCGAGGTGAGACGAGACTGTCCGGAGCGACGAAATGAAACATCGAAGCGCGTATTGTCGCGTGCACCGCATAGATTGCCGCGTCTTCGACAGGGATAAAGAGGACAATGTCCGAGGCCACTCGTCGACGATCGACTTGCGAAGAACCGTTTCACTCGTTTCACGCTAAACGCGAGCATCCGAGACGCTCGTTCCGCACAGGCTCGTCGCTCGGATTTCTCGTCATCGCGGTGCGAATAAGAGCAAAGTGCTCCTGCGAAACGTCGTCTATCGCGCGCACGATGCCCCAATTCCGTTGACCTGCGTGGGGAAACCGCGTGAAATTACGGAACTTACGGGTCGCCGCCAGCAGTAGAATACCCGTGGTGATCGTGCCTGCCATAGTCCTGGTCGCCGGCTGAACCGTGATCACGATGGGGTAGGTTCACAAAGGAAAGGGCGAGGGGACGGGTCGAAAGAGAGACAGAGAGAAAGAAGGTGGGGGGGAGAGAGAGAGAGAGAGAGAGAGAGAGAGAGAGAGAGAGAGAGAGAGAGAGAAAGAGAGAACGTGAGGAGAGAACGGAAGGGAGGCAGACAGAGACAGAAGAAGCGGCAGCTGGGGGAAGTGACACACAGCGCGAACCGACGCGGCTCTCTACGAAGAGGCTCTCTCGACGACACCCGGTCAACTCGGCAGTCTCGAAACGACTGACTGTCTCTACGAGAGGAGCGGTCGGCCGATCGTCGAAATCCAGCCGTACATAATGGCACGTAGAGGCCGTCGGTCATATTTCGCGGCGCCGCAACGCCGCGCCGGTACACACGTGGTGCGCTCTCGCCACCACCTCTCTTCGGGGGCCCCCTCGGCGCGAACGGAAGGGCGCCGCGATGCGTGGATCGAATCGAAAGTTCGCTCCGAGGCGCAAGGGTTAGAAGGGGCCGCCTGGCATGGCTCTTATCGCCGCGCGTTCGACGCGGCACTTCCGCGCTGGGACGCTCGCGCGACAGAGACGAACGTCACTCGCGCGAGCGAACGGGAGACGACGCGTCGTTGCGGAAATGTCGACAGGAGTCGGCGGAAGGGAGAGAAAGAGACCTAACCCGTCGTCATCGTCGCCGTTGGCCATGGGCACCGGCGAACGGCACATCCGCCCCTGGCCCGTCGACGACGAAAGCCCTCTTGTACGCCGGGGAAATCGGCGTTTCTCCCCTCGGCCTTTTTTTCCGCCGACCGTTGAACCGGACGTCGGAGAGGCGAGCGAGAACGCCTTCATCCCTCCGTCGCGCGCGAGTCATCCATCGGGGCCGCGCGAGAAGAGATGGTATCGCGCGGGCGAGTGTATCGGGGAGGGAGACGTAATATCTCGCGCGCGGGTGGCATTGCGCGTTTCCCGAAATAAATCTCGGTCGAGAACACACCGCGGCCGTCGAAAGCAGCAAACGCGCGTCGGCCGCGCGCGCGGTTGTTTACCCAGGCGATTGTGCCGGGGAATTGCCGTGCGCAACGCGAAGATTCGAGAAAACGCGAAATAAAGTACACTTCGGCGGGCATCGATCAAACGGCGTGGGCGGCGCGGCGGGAGCCGAATGTAGCGCGGCCGAAGCGTGACACGATGTTTTATCGGACCGCCGCGTTTGATTAATTTAACGGGGCCGTGAGTCAAAGGCGTCACTCTCGCGCGACTTAATCAACGTTAAACGGCTTTGATGGGCTTTCCGAAAGGACGAGGCTGACAGTGCTCGCCGGTCGTGCCACCGAAACGACACGGCTTCCTCACGTATCACGTCGTCGTCGCGCGACGTTGTTGTCTCACATACGTCGAATTTGCCGTACGGCGCGGCCGACATGTGCTCGGCGCAGGATCTCTCAACGACGCATAAATGCGGCGCGAGAAGGGTCGTTTTCGTGACTCGGCCCCGGCGCTCTCGCTGGGGCGAAACATCTGCTGCTCGAGGGTTCACGACCGTAGTAGCAGGGTAGAGTCGCTCTGAGCACCAATTTTCTACAACTTTTATAATTGACGGAAGCCACCGCCGTTGGTAGTATTGCTTTCGACGAGCATTCTGCTTCTTTCATCGCACGCACTCGCGACGTGCTTCAACGCGAGGTCGTTGAGGAGAGAGGGAGAGAGAGAGAGAGAGAGAGAGAGAGAGAGAGAAAGAGAGAACTTTCACTCGCGCGGCTCGCGGTATATTCGCGACGCGAGTAACGAATCCTCCTGGCACATCGGTCATTATTGCGCAGAAAAAAAAGAGATCTCGCTCGGTGCGACCGATTGTGAGCGAGAATCGAAAAGTTGCCCGAGAAACTGAAATAACTGAGAACAATCGAGTGAATAGAAACCTCCCGCAGGAATCTTTCCGTTATTGCGACCGAGTTTTTGTCCGCTTTTCAGGTAACAGAAAATCAGAGACAGGGTCGTACGAATGGAGCGTTCTTTTTTTCTCATGTATATGTCGCGTCAACAAAGTCGATTCGTTTCCTCGATATTTTTTTCTCTTTTCGAATTGTCGCGAGAGAAAGAAGGAGCGCGCGTGTTCATTCTTTTGCCTCGTCATTGATCGCGATTGTTTGAATTGTCCGAGCAGTCGGCGAATTTCGACGAATGTTCGCTGCGTTATACGGCGCAGGGGAGGTACTTTGTGATCGAGAGAACGTACGTAATTTGAGGCCGAGCGAAATTCGACGAATATAATTAGGCGTTTGTGCGCGTTATCTCTTCTAGACACGTAACGATGCAACGCTGCGGTTCACTTGACAATAGCACCGACAGTCGCCGTTAAACCTGTCGCGGCGTCGCTAAGCATCATCCTGAATCATCCGACCCGTATTGTATGACAAATTCTCGCAGAATTCCAGCGTCGTGACGTTTCCTGGGAAAAAAGGGAACGAGACGAAAAGAAACTCGTCGCCTTGTCCACAGCGTGTCGACAAGAAGCAATCCACCACAGGGTGGTGCTCCGAGCGATTCGCTGAATTCATGAATAATTACTCCCTCTCGCACGGCTTTACTCGACTCGCGAATTATACACACATCGTAATTGTTGGATCATACATTAAATGCGCCGATGAAGCGTTGCGCGCCCATCTCTCTCCCAGAAGGAAGCCGCGGTAATTACAATTCGCGGCCCCGACGACGGAGGTAAACCCACAATTACTTTCTAACGAGGCCGCGCACTGAAACCGAACTCTTTGACGTATACAACTACAATATATATAATCTGCAGGTTATATGCGATTAATTAGATATCAAATTACGCGTCGCGTATTTATGAGCCGCACGGTTGCATCCTCGAGATCTCTCCGTGTCAGTTTAATCGATATTATTTATCTCCGATATTTGCGTATCTAACTCGAAGTCTCGCTCCTTCCCTTCTCCTCCCTTCCCCCACCCCCTCTCTCTTTCTCTCTGCTTGGAACTTTTACACGAAAATCATTTTTTCCGAGAGATGCGAGCGTTCATATCATATTATTGCAGATATTTAAAGTTGATACGGGAAACTATTTTATCGAATAAGTATTTATATTGTAGAATTCAAAAGACATTCGAGCAGACAATTGATCGTTATAATACACGAATACGCAGATACGCGAGACAGTACGCTATATTATTCCGCAACAATTCTCCCTTGTAATTATTTCATTTTCATGTCCTCTTAATTTCCATGTAATATTGCATTTCGTTTGTCGTTATTAGTTATTAAACCGTGAAACTTTTCTCCCCCACCCTTTCTCTCTCTCTCTCTCTCTCTCTCTCTCTCTCTCTCTCTCTCTCTCTCGACGATCTCTGCTCGGAAGAGACGCTGGCACGATCGTGGTGTACGGTCGACGTGACCGGAGGTCACTGGTGTTAACGAGTTAATTTCTCGAACAACCGTCACGCCATTTTTGCAGAAGGGCAGCTTATTTACTTAGCGCCGTAATTGCCGTCCTTTTGTGCCCTGTCGCGTGCCGCGGCGGCCGTTCGCTCCCGAGAGAAAGTGCTTGGACTCTCTGACGACGGTTTCTCGTCGTCGTTGTCGTCGTCGCGACAATAAACGTTCCCGAAGCGTCTGAAAGCGTCATCCGAAAGCACGCGATAGTCCCAGGAATTCGTTACGTGTCTCTCGTGTCTTTCGTGCGTCTGATAGCGCGCGGTCACGATAACCGCGCGGTTAATCATCAGCGAGAGAATTGGGAGCGCGCAGCACACGCCACGTTGTTTGCGTATCCTCCACTTTCGGCCGACGTCCTTGGACCTGGTCGCGCAGGTCTCTAATATTCGCGATGGCTGCTTTTAATCAGCCGATGGATGCGCTCTCAATCATGAGAGACGCGCGTTCGGTTCTTACCGAAGAGCTACCGTGTTTCTCCCTCTCTCTCTCTCTCTCTCTCTCTCTCTCTCCCCCCCCTTCTTCCATCGCGGCACAACGCTGCGCTTTTCATTTCTCCGTCCGTCGCGTGAAATCGGAATCTTCCACGCGGCTTGTCGAAACTTCCTATTCATCGAAGCTTGTCTAAAGCGGCGCTTACGAAGTAACTCGTCGCTCGTCGCGGCGATTTCCACGATCAGACTCGGCTCGGTCGCGAGCGACTCGAATTTCGCGAATCGTCTCGGCCGGCCGGCCGGCCGGCCGGCCCTGGCCGTGTCGAGGACGACACGACGAGGATAAAAATTGCAGCGGAGAAATGGGAGTTTCTCGGCGAATGCCATTCTTTGTTGCCGCGCAGCCGGCGGCGCGTGTTCCCTCTTCTCCACAGAGAGAGAAGAGCTCGCGCTCGAGAACATCGGCTTTAAAAAGCGCTCCGTGCTCGGCTAGCGCGACAGAGAGGGAGAGGGAGAGGGAGAGGTAGACGTGACAATTAGACGTTCCAATTTTCGTCCGTATGCTAATACCACCGTAGATTTCACTCGCCGGGGCGGAAGAGCAGAGAGCAAAACTGAATTCGCCCGAAGAGAGCCGCGCGCGTTTGCGCTCGATAGCGAATTCCCGGGGCTCGTACGCGAGCGCGCGATCCTCCTTTGTGGACTCCCACAGTGGCCGCGATAGGAGTGCGATAGTGGAAATTATTCACGTAAGAATCAAAAGGCAGATAAAAGCGCGGCTACAGAGCGGCGAGCGCCCTACTACTACTTGGGCCCTTCGCTGATTGAAGCGACCGAGAGCTCCGATTCCTTCGATCCTCCGTCATTCTGTCAACTTTTCAGCGCCAACCTGACGCCTTTCCGCCTTCTCTCAACGATCGCGTGAGCGATACGTTATCACGGCACGATTGATAATGCAAACAATGGTGCAGTCATTAGATAGATAATCCTTTAACCTCCACGGAGGAGGTGCGCTTATTTTTCTCGCGTTATCGCAGGCGCGAACGAGTGCGATTAAACATCATTAACGAGCACGCCGCTAGAAATCGCGCGCAAATTGTGCAATCCCGATAGAAACGCCCGCTCGTTACGGTCGCGTCTCTCTTATCGCTCGTCGTTGACACTCGCCGCGTTGTTTGCGATATTTGCGAATTCGATCTTCCCCCGAGTTCGTCTCCGAAAATGCTGCCATTCTGCGCGAGCGAATGCGCTCGCGCACCGTCATGCCGTTGTAACTTCCGACCGCGACCGGCGCGCTGGCGTGTTTGTTTAGCGGCTGTTTGCGTATTCAACATTCAAAGTCAACAATTGCGTATACGCCGCTTTAAATACGTGATTTCAGCCCGGCCGAGTTATGCGCGCGGGATTCGCGCGGTAAGCAAGCTTAAGCTCATCGCGGGAAGAGAGAGGAGGGGGCGGAGAAGCGGGGAAAAATATCGGAATACGTGCGATTATTGCACTTTTCGCGTGTTCCGACCCGTCGTATTCTCTCTCTCTCTCTCTCTCTCTCTCTCTCTCTCTCTCTCTCTCTCTCTCTTTCTTTTTTCTCTTTCTCTCCCTTTCTTTCCATTACTCTTTACGTTGTTTCATGCACGTGCGCGCTTTTTGTCGCGCGTCGAAAGTTGAATATCGATCAAAGACGCTGATCACACGCGCCATTGTCCCTCATTACGAACGTTCTTTTGGGGGAAAAAAAAAAACAAGCACAGCCCCCCGTAACACACAGGAATATGGGAATCGCGGCGTCATTTCCGTAGATTCAAATGCGATATCGCACACTCGGATGGAAAAATCGTCCGCTCTGCGCGGATGTCCGTACGAATGTATCCGTCTAATCCTCCGGGAGAATCCAGTTCCCAATGGGAGAATTCTCCGATTGGATCGCAACATAGAAAACGCCCCGAAAGCCACGCAAAAAAAAAATTACAGACGACTTTTCTGCTGGCGGAGCGAGTTTCGGAACGGTCCGAACATTCTCCTTCGGAACGCAGCCGAATCGTCCAACGAGAGGAATTTTCCTGTTCCTGAAAAATTCCCGAAAGTTGAGTTTTTTCCCCTCTGGCTGGACGTTCGCTGCGTCACAAACCGCACAATCGGAGGGGGAAAAAGGTAGTATTCAAACCGTTCCGAAAGTCGGTGTATCTACGTGGACGCGGATCGTTTCGTCCGAATGATAACGCGCGACACTTTCGCTCGTTTACGCCACGTTCGCTCGTTCTCCTGCAACATGAATTACGGGAAATGTTTCGGCCCACAACACTTCCCCCCCGCCGGCCCGCTTTGATCAGCGAATTCTTCGAGTTACGGCGTGGCGATAAAGATGGTTATATAGCAATGCATAAAAAAGCTGTTAGAAGGGCTTGCCAGGATGGAATATCAAATAAGACGACGCTTCTTACGAGGATATATACGAGCGGCAGCTACGTCGTGGGATTCGCCGGCCTTGAATTCTTTTATATCGCTTATCTGCTTTGAATATTGTTCGCATGCTGCGGTATTACCAAGATTGCGCTTGAACGTGACGAGCCGAGTTGGAGGTTATGTTGCTAATAATAGTTAACGGCAATAATTGTCGCTCCGTCGCGATGGGCGTCGAGACTGGCCCGCGTCGCGACCGATTCCGGCGAGCGGGCGAGCGAGCTTCGTCGATGTAATTGCGCATAAATGAATTTTGCAGCAGCTCCTCTTTAGACCTGACCTTACGAGACAAACGGCACATTCGCAGTCACGAGACTTACGATAATCGATAGCGGGCAGCACAATGCGCTGCTCTACGTGTCTCTGTTAACTGGGTTATTCTTCCTCGCAAACCCCGACGTCTCTCTCTCTCTCTCTCTCTCTCTCTCTCTCTTTCTCTCCGCGACTTTCGTATATCTTTATGCGGCCCAACTTAACGGCAGATCAACTTGTCCCTTACTTGTGCACTCCGTCAGTTTGATTGGCACTGCGCGAGCTGCCGTCGCCAAGGCTTGGATGATGTGCGCACGAGGTAATGGCGTGCGAACTTCATCCTCGCGAACGCGTCGATTACGCGGAATAAATTTTGTTCCTTCGGCAAAACTCCGAATCAAACTCCTGCTCGTACTGTGTACGCGGATTTTGTCGTTTGATGGTGGACGTTCTTTGCCGTTAGAAAGTAGAGTAAACCGAAAACTCACAGTAGAGGGAATTATCGTTATCGCCGCTACTGATAATGCAGTAATCCGCGTGAGCGGTGAACGATAGCGAAGGAAAAGAAGAGCGAAAGAGCCTCTGATTACCAGTGAACGATAAAGCAGTCGAGGGATCAGCGTAGTCGTTGTTTGTGCCGTTATGTAGAAGACGTTACGACATGGGCGCAGATACGTCGAGATAAAAAATTGCTTTTATCTCTGTCTCAATAAATAGTCGAGTGTTCTGAGGAACTCGACGAGAAAGAAAAGCTCAAGGCTGTGCTCGCTTTGAGGCGTCTTCTTCGCGCTGCCACGAAATCGATCGAACGGTGTGTGATGTTGTAAAAATGTGGTAGACCCTTTTATTAAAATACAAATACAAAATCGTACGATTTTGCCCGATGAACCACGGCTTCCCAACACACTTTATATATTTAAACATTAAAGCATACAATGCGATACCTCCCGTCGCGATTGCACAATTGGGAGGTCACGCTCAGAATTGGTAACATCGTTCTGAAATGCCGCCGCGGTTCTCCTCGACCCCGCGATCGGCTACGTCGCGGAGTAACTCTTAGTCTAATACGTCATTGGCACTCGTAAATGGCTGCTTTTGTACAAATACAAATAATAGTAACGCTGAATATCACAAATCCCGCCTTAGAAAACAGCTTATCCCGTATATAATGACGGGGTTAATCCCGGTAAACGAAAGTATTGCCACGGTATCGAAACTAGCTTCGCGTCGCTCGACGCACGGTAACGTGTATCGAGAGGGAAGGAATCGCGCCAGCGAGGAAGTCTCTCCTCAGTTCCACTAGGAGCGCGAAACTGATTTCATATCGACCGCGCGCGAACGTGCTCCGTGACAAGAACAAAAAAGAAAAAAGGTTTTTGTAGGGAATAAAAGCGAAGGAGGCTGCAAAAAGCTGCAACGCTATCCCGGAATTACGGTGCGCAACAACGCCTTATCATATCGAGAACACAACACCGAATCCGCACGATAGATAACACTTAATTACAACAATACCAAGGCACACCACAGATATTCTTCCGCGTAAATAGCGTATTGTTTTGCTCTCTGTACTCGAATATCGATGAGAATGTCGTTGTATGCGATTTCGCGCGCGCCTCCCGGCAACAGTATCTCTATATAAAAATGACTCGGTAAATATGACATCGCCGCGTCTCTCGACGCCTCGATTATAAATTCTAGCGGAAAGATAAATTCGGTTTTTCGCACAGCGGCCAGTGGTGTTCGTGCGGCATTATCGTATAAAGCTTTTTGTACTTTTCCTTTCATTCGACCGCGCTTGATTACAGCGTTCTTCGTTCATTGGCTCGGCATCGGCTGCGGCTGTATCAATAGTACGCGAATATCTGTTCGCCTACAAATGTAACTAAAGCCGCTTTTGAACGGCCTATCCATATGTGTGTTGAAGCTCTGCTTCGTCGGTGTCACGCGGATGAATTAACTGAACGGCCGAATCATCGGTTAACGTCATCATTAACGTAATCGTCGTTAACAGAGAACGGACGAACTCCGTGCAGTTCGATTTGCCTTTATAGATATCAGCCCGTTGTATTCTGATGGCGACAGCGCGCTCTTGTGTGACAGTAGTAGTGGACAGTAGTAGACAGTAGATTGAAAATAACTAAAGCTTTGTCATGCGACCGTCGGTTTCGTCAGTCTTGGTGTACCACGTCGATACATGAATAATTATCCGACATTATTATTCTTCGTTCAATGTCGTACGTCACGTAGGAATGTAACAATCACAATGAAAGTCGCGTCGTCTGCAGAGTAGAAGATCTCGAGACGGATTGAAGAGAGAGGAAGAAAGAGAGAGAGGGGGGGAGGGAAGAGAGGAAGGAGATTCGCGTCATTGAGAAACATCGACTTCGAGAGATAATTTCTAGTTCTCCACGTGTCATGGAGTCATCGTGCGCATAAACTAACGCGACGCATTGTCATTCCGATCTACTCTACTCGTGGCATGCGCGTCTGCATGGCGCGTCTATAAATTTCGCATTATTTTTATAGCTATTCTAGCAGCGATTCCACACGGTCTACCCATTCACTCGCATTAGCATGCGAGATCGCGAATACATCCGCGCACACGTGTCCGATCGTGTTAACGTTAAGCACGATAAAGTACACGTGTGCAGCTCGGTGTCGTCCTAAATGCGTTTCTTTTCCTCTTCATTTCCCTCTTATACCGTATCAAGCGGGAGTTTTGCATCCCGAGACATGAAAATCTATTCAGGGCGCACCTTTCGAACCCCCCCCCTCCACCTCTCGAATTTGGTCCACGATTGCACATTCTTGTCCCCTGTGTAGTCTACGTGCTCGTCTCGTGGTGGAACGAAGTTTCCCCCGGGTGGGGAAACGCTCAATAGAGCTTCGCGTACAAACGACGGTCGCTCCTAACGTTGGCGTCCTCGTTGGCGGTTATCTTGTCCATGTACACCGTTTCCGACTTCTTCTCCAGCGGCTCGTCGACCGGCTTCTCCGGCGCGACCTCCTGCAAAACGCGCGATATCGTGTTTCAAAATGCCTTCTCCGCCGATCTAGCGTCGCGTAGAGGATCGAGGCGATCGAACGAACGAGTGTACGTACCGCGGGCGCTGGTGGTGTAGGCTTCTTCTTCACCAGATAGAGCAGCGCCACTGCGGCGATCAAACACAATCCAACGATTGCCATAATCACGCCGGTACACAGCATCACAGTCGGAAGCGCTAGCAATTGCTTCAAATCAGACGCCATCTCCTTGGTGATTTCTACCGTCAAGTTGAACCACATGATCGGGAAGTAAATCCTGGGCACGTTCTTGAAGAGCCTGAACAGAGATCCCCGACGATTGCTCTGTCAGTCCCCTCGAACGTCTCAACACAGCACATTAGTGACATTAAGAAGCATTTGTCTCTCCCTCCCTCCCTCCCTCCCTCCCTATCTCCTTCTCTTTCTCGCGATACTCGCGGCCATATTTTCACGCTAGCTCTCTCGTCGCTATCCGTTTTTCCTTTCTATTGCTCGAAACGTACTTACGACACAATCTCTGACGGCTGTACGAGAATATTCACTTGTAGTTTGGCCGCCACTTCCAAGGGAATCCCCGTGGTCTGGAACATGAACGCGTTTCCATTCGGTAAATCTCATATCCACGAAACGGAAGGCGCCGTCAAGGCAAGCAAGTTCAGAAACTGTTCGCTCAGGCGAAGGGGGGGATGTACCGATTGACGCGATGAGGGGAGATTTAGTCCGGTGCTTCGGATCATTCGGCTCACACGCGCTTATTTTGTCCGCGTAAACGTACAATAGCCTGACGTGGGAAATCGCTTTGAAAGACCGCCAGCTCAGTCACGGCGAAAGAATCCAAAGTACAGCGCGAATGATGACTCCTCACCGCGCTAATCAGACATTCCCTTCGCGGAGTCTAGACGTCGTCGGCGCGAATTATACATAAACGCGCGCGCGATGAATAAGTCGTAAACGGCATAACGCGGGCGCGAAGTTGCCTCGCAAACGGCGCGTATTATCGCAGCGCGCGCTCGATAGCCCCCGGATAAAAGGCGATAGCAAAATTAGCATCTTCTAGCAATAGCAGAGCGGGGTGATTGACCCATATTTCAATCTAGCGGCGGATCTATCGCGCTCGCGCTCGCGCTCGCCGTCTGTCCACGCGAGTCTGTCGTCACTTACGGGCTCCAGGGTGATGGAGAAGTCGTAGTCCCCGTCGTTGGGGTTCAGCCCTTCGATTTGGTTGAGCAGGCTAGGATCAGTCTTGTGGAAGTGAGGTAAACTCATGAACACTGGCGCGCCGTAGCGGCACGAGCTCACGTTTATCAGGCCCGACGGCGTGCACTCGCCGTTGCAGTAGCAATTGCCCATGTTGATGACGTCCGGGTCGTCGTCGGACATGTCGTCCGAGCTCTCGGACGAGCGCTCCTCGCTGGAGCCGTAGCTCGGGCTCTCGGTAGTCGTGCTGAGCAGTCCCTCGTTCGTGTGCTCGGCCGCGAAGAAGTCCTCGGTCGTCGTGGTCGGCTCGAAGTACTTCGCCTGCTCGTGCGGGTAACGCCGCCGTGTGTCGTTCTCGAGGGTCTTCTTGTCCATCGTGTATCGGTAGCCCTCGATGCCCATGTGCGAGACCGTCCGCTCGTACTCATAAATCACCGACCTGGAGCGGTGAGAAGCAGGGATCGAAGGTTGAGTTGACGGTGAAAGACGCCAATAACAATGTGCGAGGCGATATCGTAGCACTGGCTCAGTATCATCGATAAAAAGCCAAATGACGTTAAGCGGGTTACTTTGAGCGCCTTTAACGAGTCGATCCGCGGGCAATTAAACGACGCTCGTTAGCATCGTGTCCCCCGTTAGTGCTACGCGTGTCGCGCGTAAAAGGATATTAAAAATAAATAGGATAAGATATAATCCAATTACAGCGTCATTCATGCGATCGTGTAAAAAGCAGCGGAGATTGGATCGCTCTGAAGTGCGCGCGCACGCGAGAACTTCTCCAAGTGAAATTTTAATCTGAGCTGAGTGTCACTCGATCTGTCATTGATTAATTACGAGTGGACGCAAGGAAAACCGATCGTGTTTCCGCGTTATCTCCTGAAACTCGATAGAATTCTTCACCGACCGGCACAAGTCCACGCTGAACAAAGTGATGCCCTCCTTCGTCTGGTTGGGCGGCCAAAATTCACTCGCGCTGCCTTCGATGACGTTGCACGGGCTTCTGTGGTATTTGGTTGTGTCCCTGTAACGCCATTTCCTCATTATACCCAAGTGGCTGATGTCGTCCACGCCGGTTTCCATGTTCATTATCCCATCCATCTCGGCGGAATTGTTCCTCTGCGTACAATCGAGGAACGATTAACGCGATGCGAGACCAGTCGCAACGCCATTTTCTCGTCGACACGATCCCGACAGATTCACCCTTCGATTCACCTAACAACTCCACGATCCAGGCAACTTCAGCCAGACATTGGCTCCCTCTCGTCGGCGATACCGCATACGACAAACGCAAAACGGTTCTGTCTCTCCTCGATTTTTAATCTTTCTTCATTAACGAGCAACGAGTTATCCGGATCCGGTATTTCCGTGAGAGCCGGTCGTTTCAGCGACGTGACGACGTGGCCGAACGCGCCACGAACTACGAAGCTACTTGAAGCACGCTTCCGTATCAACGGGCTATATAAGCTATCCCGTATACAGCGCTCGTGCATTGATGCAACGAATAATATCGATCACAACGAGTACATCCCCGTCGCGCGTTTCATTCACTACGTATGTACACGACCTATATAGCAGCAGCCATTCTGCCATTCATTACCAATTTAAGTCCGGTTACGAATACTTCACCATTGATGACAAAGCCATTTGCTGGCTGCCGTGCCATCCGGAGCTTCTCTATACGTTATTATTCGCGCTCGATGCTGAGGCTAACAGAATAAATCATCTAATCTCTGTAACAGCTTGCTAATCGCGTCCGTATCAGCCCTTGATATTTCCCATTGGAATGTCGCCTTCGACGTTCGCGCTTGAAGTTAAATATTTACGAAAGACATCGGGGAGGACTCGCGCGTGAATGTTTTGTGACAAAACGATAATCGAATGTAGAAGGTCCCTCGATATTTAACGGAGCGCAGTACGCTGCCGTAACGAGTGCCTCAAGGTGAGGAACAAATTAACAACGAAATACCGCGAGAGCGCAAATGACCGATCGTAGAACGGGGATAATATCCCGAGGATAATGCGCGTGTGTTTCGCATACCGTCCTCGGGTGATTTTTTTGTCTGGGTACTTTCACGGATACCTATTTTGACCAAGGTTGTCGAAAAGAAGAGGTTTTATTGGCGCTCTCACCATGTAGAACCAGCCGAAGCGATCGTAAAGCGGCGTGTCGTCGGTGACTAGCATCTTGCCCATGGTGAGCAGGGTATCGCTGTAGCCTGTGAACAGCAGCTCGCCCACTGTTTTCGTCACATAGATTTTCGAGCTGGTCAGCATGATGGACAACGACTTCTGGAAACTGTAGTCCCAGTAGCGGATCTTGTGCGCTGCCGACTGCGAACAAGACGCGAACGTGGACGTTAGACTTTAGACGCAGCCTGAGAGAGTCAGCGTCTCTCTCTTTTTTTTTTTCTTAATTTTCTTTCAGTCTCGCAGTCGGCATTGACTCCTCCTTTAACGCCTACTGGTAACTATAGTTACCAGAACCAGCACTTAAGAACCCATAATTTAGTCAAGAAAGGAGATACTTTCGTTAAAAAACCAAACTAACGAAAACCAACAAACGAAAAGCGGAAACTTCGTGTACTCATTTATTCAGAAGGTAGAGTTTCTCGTCGTATATAAAATTCTGATGTTTTTTTGGTTATCACTACTTATAGTCTCAGTTCAGAAAAACTCAAATTTTATTCTTAAAACACTTGTAAAAAAAATCGGGCGTTAAAGGGTTAAAAGAATCCAATTTATCGTACTGAGTACGAGCGACAAAAGATGCAATGAGGCAGCTCACCACAGCGACGATGTTCAGATGGTTGATGATGTCGCTGAGGCTTCCGTTACTCCGTTCGGCATCGAAGTACCATGATCGTCGTTGAAAGTAACTGACGGTTTTGTTCGTGGGATGAAAGGTCACGTTGACCTTTTGTCTTACCTCCCTGAAAATTTGTGTCATAATTACGATTATTCTTTTGATCCTACGTAATGGAGATTTCCTTAGGGTATGGCTTTTATCATATATGTGTGTGGATAATTTGTAAATGTATCCAGCAGAGGCAAATAATATTAACGTAAGTTGACACAGCGCGCTCGTGTAGAAACAAAGAGATTTGATACAATACAGCGTCCTTCCTAGAGTTTAATTTGGTCGATAAGTCGCTCATTGTCAGCAATGTGCGCGAGTTACGCGAGTTGCGTCTTCGACGCAATCTGGTCCTGAAGTCGATTGTTCGAACGTGATTTAAACATCTGACCTACATGTTTTGCTTATTAGTACGAACGGGACAATTGCCGCGCAATCGTATGGGGCGTACGTACGCAATGACGACGACGATGACTTTAATGTCTTCTTATTATCAAAGATGCAATCTTTGTTGCGTAACTAGCGTAAGATTAAGGACGGAAGTGCGAAGGAACAAGAGAAAAAGTTCAAGGGGAGGCTATTTTAAGCGGTAACACTTGCGCCGTGTTGAGGAGGGGCAGAGGAAGAGAGGAGAAAGAAAGAGAGAGATGGAGGGAATACGCACGGAAGGGTCAGACTTACGTAGATTTGCATCCCACACGGAAAAAATCTCCTTTTGTATAAAGAAAAAGAAAAAAAAGAACAATAAACGCTGTCTCTGTTATGACTAGACCGAGAAGATTCGTCTGAACGTTCGATCGCGCTAAAACTCGGTCGAAATACTAAAATGTAACTGAGAATATACACAAACTTCCGCGTACGGACGGACGTCTCTTAAAAAACTATTCCTTATTCCTGCAACCGAGTTTTTGTCTGCTTCGCAGGCAACAGAGAAACAGCTGCACGAATCGAGATTTTTCCTTCCGTCTGATTATCGCTAATTATCGTTTAATAATCGACGCGCAGTTATACAAAGTGGCAAAATCATGATGTTGGGCTTGGCGGAAAATTCCAGCGCACGCAGATAGAATTCTACTTGACTCGCGCTTGTAATCCTCTTAATTTCATGATCACACACCAGTCCATCAGAGCCGGCGTCAGAGCGGGCGAGCGACGTTCGTCGGAAATCATTACGCTCCATTTACTTTTCAATGAACGATATTGTACCTATCATTACGGACCAATCATTTGATTCGCGGTGAAGTCGTAAGTCCTCACACCTCATCTCTGTAGGTCTCGCTCGAGCCTTTTTATCGCGCTCGGCACTCGGGCGAAATTCGCGAAAGCGTGCTGAGGTGAGAAGACAATCGTCCGACGAAGGACACGCATGCGCCCGGGGGAGTCGACCATGGTAGCTCCGCGACCAAGGAGAAAGTAATTAATTAGTCAATTGCTTAATATGTGCAGTGCCGCCTACGCGGCGCGCACGGCTGGACCGAAACGTTTTATTGTTCATTAAGATGTCAATATAGCGGGGTTAACTATTTCTTCTTCATTGCCATTAGGTCTGTTGTCACGTTATAATTTCGTGGCGCGCGAGCCCGATTAGAATAATCTCATTTTCGTCGCTTGAAAAGCTAAGTGGCTGGCTTCCCTTCGACTGCTGTCGAATATTCTCTTCTGACGATTCTCCGCCGAGTAATGACACGCCGATAGGAATGACGATATTTCACGTTGATCAGTATTAATTTTTGCTCGATGTCGCCGCGGTTTCAACGCGAAACGCGAAGACTCCTCGCTTCCGACTGTTCGCGCTCGCATTTCCGCGAGGTCTGTAATCGTGTTAGTTAGTCAGTCGTAATTTACTAAATGCGTTTGTACCTTATTTTATTCGATAACGATTTATTTGATAGCAGGAACTTTTCCGTCATGTTTCCTCGAAACCGTTTTCAAATAAGCAATGTTTAGGCAAACAGTCCGTTCGTTTGATACGTTTATCACGTGATTACGTTATCACGATGAGTGAGAAGCTTAATTAATGCTTAATTAAAAGGAACAAAAATCATATCATCCTTCTTTCGTTTATAGACGCACTAGTTGTAGACCAGTGATAGTAATTTTATCAAGTGACCAGTGATTGTAATTTTATCTAGTCACCAACACACATGTTAATTACATTAAAACCTGTTTTATCGGCTGACAGCAGCCAGAGATGATAGTAGTTTGAAATCCGACACGAGTCTAAATATATCTTTAGCGGCTTTTTGTGCCTCGAGTTACTCTCGACTTTTTTCTCAGCGAATTCATAGAGATTCTCACATCGAATTATATGAACACTCGGATATTTAATTAACACAACGACACATTTACAATAATATATTTACTTGGAATGTAATTTTGTAATTTGGAGTGTAATAATTGATGAATGAGAATTTTTATAGAATTTATTTTTATAAAATAGCTTTTTTTTTTTTTTTATATAAAATCGACTGAAATAAGACGCGATATTGAGGTAGATTGACACGAAAGATTATGAAATATTATTGAAATACGAGCAGATTTCCTCAGAATTCGCGTTTCATATGTGAGTTTTTTAAGCGTACGAAGAATAACCGGCCTTGCCGATATACAGAGACGCACGTGTCTTTATCTTGATCATCGCGCATTATTTTATCAATCGCTCTTGCGAGTGAATGTTCAAGTGAAAATCTTCTACCTGAAGACATACGGGCCGACTTGAACGAAATGTGGCTTCTTCCCGTGCATTTTCAATTCCTGCGGGTTGGTCCAGTTAAACATATATATGTTGAAGTACATCGGCGGGAGGTTGCTGGTGTCATTCCACACGTCGAAGCTCCTCGAAGTCGGTGTGAGGGCCAAGCCCTGAGAACACAAGGTTTAACGATCGAAAATCGGCATGACGATCGATTTCAATTTATGTCTAGATCACGACAAACTATGTCTATAAGCGGATTAACATAATCGCTATTTCGCTGAGGCTTATTATTTCGATCGATTATTCGATCGATGCAATGATTAAATACAAATGTAACCGATGAGCGAAACGTTTTCCCTTATTTAGTCACTTTATGATCTTCATGAATAATAATTAATGATTTGATGACTTCAATTATTGGTGCTAATGTATGTAAGGGGTTATGAAAGAAAGGAGTATGCAAAATTTGTGAAATGTATCGTCATTTTTTTTAACGGAATTAAAAAACCAAATGCGTTATAAAAGCTAATATACGAAGATGTTGTAAGAGTATGTCATTCGTTGCCCAATGAGTTTGCATGATACATTTGATTTCCGTTTGTCGCGATCGTCATACGAAAGGAGTCGGAAAAAATATCGTCTCATGTTTTTATCGCATATTAAATAAAGTAGTCTCGAACACTGATAGGTCATGAACGAGCTTCGAACATCGAAGTGCTCGACGTTGCGTACGTTGTTAATCGGTATACTTAACAAACACGATTGCGTCGAGTCGACGCGTGCACGTGACGGCGATAATCCCCGATAAGAATCGACCGGGACAAAACCGCAGAGAAGAGAGCGACTGTTGATGAAATACCGCGTTTCTCGCGATTTCTCGTTTCTCTTACAGATGAAGAGAAGGGTCGACAATAAAAGAACATAAAAGACACGGTGCCGAACGGGACAAGTAGCTCCATTGTGAGCAGCATATTTTTAATCTTAAACTTTTAAAAAAAGTTGGGACGATATTTTGAGGATATCGGCAGAGGAGGATTACTCGCGCGCTTGCGCCGAGTGTTGTCGGTAGCATGAAACCGTTCGTGACGAGCCGTGCGATATAGAGGAATGCCAATTAATGGGACAATCGGCCACTTTTCCAATCGGGCCGGGACTAGCGCCGAGACGAGTGCTTGCTCGGTAAATGCATAGTATGTGGACCAGTCCAACGAACGAGATCTTACTTGCTGCAAACGACCTTAGCATACGCGGCGCGATGCATTTTCCACGTACTCTCAACCCACGAGGTGATTCATTTTCCATGATCGTGCAGAACGAACGGCTCGAAGGGGGCTTCCGTCGTACGCTTTTGTCGCTGAAAATTCAATAAGCGGTAATGAACCGTTGTTTATTGAGTCATTGACGCTCGGCGAGCAGACATTTCGCTGCGAAAGGCGAGCTCAAAAGTATAAACGCAGTCGCGGGGGAAGATGATGATAACCCAGGAAGGGGCGCGAGGCTATCCGCGACAAGCAGAACGAAAATACCGAGCGAGATTCCTCGTGGACGATAATACGTCTCGGCCAGTACCGCTCGTGTGTTCCGGTATTTATTTGCATCGTATATAGCGTCGTAAATTGGCATTTGACGCGACGGGGAATGATATCATGTTTGTGAAATATCGCGAAATACATTGCAAAAATCGAGAATAAAAGCGAGCGAAAGAAAGAGGGGAAACTAGAAGTAAGGTTTTAATCAATATCGCGATGACATTGATCATTAATCGCCTGTAGACGATGTAGGCATATAATTTGCATCAATGATACAAATCGTCAAACTGTTTTACATGACATCTGCAGGAGATTTTTTAGAAAATTATTTAAGAGGTTGCAAGGACGTTCCTTTTTCCAGCAAGAACAAAAAAATAGACATATTGCGTGTCAAACGCTAGTATGCTGCATAATATTGTTTATGGAAATATCATTCAATTATTAATACTATTGGTAATTTCTTTTTTGTTAAATATCAATTTAGATCAAAGGCGTCAATCGTTAAACTGTTGCATCTGTTGAAGATCTGCGGAAGATTTTTATTTGTAATACATTATCTAAGAGGTTGTACATTTTTGTTTTCCAGCAAGAAGACACAGATAAATTGTGTATCAGATGCTAATAATGGTACACTGCACAATATTACTTGCGGAAATCATGATTTAATTGTTAGCACTGCTGGTAGTTTCTTTCTTTTTTTATTAAACCTCATTCCATGTTACATACATTTCTACACAATTATATTATAATTGTATTATACAATACAAAAATGTCTCTTTGAGGTTCGGTATATTTTTACCTTAAAATTGCACAAAAGATATTTTCTAAATATATTGTTCCATAAAACAAATATTTTTTGGAGTTTTATCGAGCGAATTTCACTTACATAATATTTATAACACAACTCACGAAACTCTCGTGTGCGTAAATTTTTTCCGCTGAATATAATAACAGTCATGAATTCGATAACTATTGACTCGGCTCTTCAGCCATGCATACTTGTGTCATTTTGTGACGTCGCGAGGGGAAACATCGTGGCAATTTTTGTCGCCTGTGTCTCTTGCTGGAATTCATACAAGATGTATGATTTTGTTTTTCTACCAATATGAAATTATACATTTTAAATATTGCAAATTTTAGTAGTGAGACCTCAATACACCCGTTTTGTCTCATCGGTAATCGGATAAAACTTTTTTTTTTTTTTTTTTTTTTTTAATTAAACGCCGACGTTCTCGCAATACGATCGAGTGTTTCGAAAATACGGCTCAAGTTCATTGAGACACGGTGTGTGTTTATCGAGACGATGATAACGAAGTAAACGTCCGCGATATAACGAAAAATCTCAGCCACATGGAAAAATATGCCTCCACTCGAGTGAGTTTGCAGGCCTCGTCGCTTCTCATTAAGCGACGTTGCGATCGGCGAAACAAGCTATAGCGGGACATGTACTCACTTTTTGGAGAATCTGATGGAAAATGATCGGCCAAAGGACGGAGAGGGACACGCCACAGACCAGCAGTAATAGCCCGATGACACCGAGGCTCAAAGATTTGTTGGTCCAAGGTCTCATGGTGACGCGAATGTTTCCGCACGCACTGATCCTCGTCTCTTCAGCATGTGCACCTTGCACTCGAGAGAGCGGCCGCGGTCTTCTTCGTCAACGATCGCTTGTAATCCCGGTCTGGTCGAATAGCAAGTCCAGTCACAACGGCCCACGCTTCGAAGCCTGTAAGATAAAAACGTCTATCTAATCTACCAGTTGACAAGAGTCGCACGCGGCCGCGGCTCGCGGCACGTGCACGTTGCAATTGTTCATCGTATACGTTGCTCGCGGCGTTTCCTCGTCTAGCCGACGAGGAATGCGCGGGCACCGCCACGAATAGACACATCGCGCACAACGATCGCGCGCGCGCGCGCCAGACTCCTCACTGAGACTGTTTATCGGAGCTTTTTTCCTCGTGATAAGTCCCAGAGACGTAAAAATGGAGACGGAAAAATCTCGTTGCACCTCGAATAAAAGAGTCTCCCCTGTTATGTCGCCCTGTTATGTCCCGTTTGACATTCCGATGCCCGGCATCGATAGGATTCGTAATGGGAACGACGCCTCACCGAGCGTTTCCTGTGAATTCTGTTAAAATGACAACAATAGCAATTTGAACTCCCGGTGAGTGCGTACTTAGCAGCCGACGCGTGAGGACGGAATGCTTGTGCATAAATTTCCAGCGTAAGGAATGTCAGTCTGAAAAGAATATTTATCAGTCTGTTAACGCAACTACGCATCCGCGCGCTGGATTTTATTGTTTACGTAACGCGCGCCCGCGCGTGTCTAACGATCGATGGGATATCGAAGCGGCTTAGTCATTCGCCAGCCCTTTGCGTAACTACCTCAATGTATCGACCACTGTGGTACCTTGATTAACAGTGAAGCAGAACGTATCGTAAAACAAATCGGACGAATGAGTAACGGATACGCGAAGATCATAATCGTCCGATGGCAATACCGATTCACGATACGCGCATTCGGCGCCTCTCTCCTCATGCGGATCGAGCGCCGTCTTATCAGCATAAATACGGAAGACGCGTTCGATGCTGCTGCATATGCTGCAAATCAAAGATGTAAAAGATGTTTTTGTGCTCCCGTTGATTTCACAAATCGCCGAAGGCGGGACCTGTTACGTGAGCGGCTCTAATAAGACTAAGATAACGGCACGTTTGACATCTTTGTTAAACACACTTACACGTATACGTGTTACGTACTTACTTGTCAACGATTGCAGTCTAAAATGTATACTTGTTAAAGTCGAGGTGTATCACACGTTTTAATTAACCTAACCCTGCAATACTTGCGACAACGATAAGAGGAGATTTTGTATAAACCGATGTGGCACAGTGAATTGCAAGTTGCAGACTGTGTGCTCAATTCACAGCCTTTTCCGCCTCAAGTCAAGTCATCGTATAAATAATTATACAGTGATCTATGATTCACTCTACATGATTATACATGATGCGGCTTATTCGATGTTTCACAAGCAATTAGAACACGTGTACGGTTAAAAAGAAAACAATTGAATACTTCCACCTGCCATATACCACAATTATGGTTGATTACTGGTATAAATAAAAGAAAAAAGAGGAAAGGAATTATGTAATAAAGTCAGGATCGTTGATATTAATTCTTCAATCGATTCTTAAAATTATCACTTCTGGTCGACAAACGAGAACCTGAAAGTTGTAATTTAAAGTGCTGTAGTAACGTAATGTGTCAAGCGTATTGTCAGTTGACTAAATAATAAAAAACAGTGTTTAATAAAGTAGACGCGACAGCGAACTCCAAGTGTGATTTATTATAATTTCATAAGTGATCATTGAAATATACTTTCATTTATTTTTATTTACATATTTATTTACATATACAGGGTGTTCTATTTCAAATGAGCCAGGCAAAAATCTTGAAAAATATACAAGATACTAAGAAACGTTTCAGACATAAATTGAATAGTTTTAAAGAGGACATAAAACAACTATATCATTTTGTTTACGGATGGCGCCGATTTTCGAGATATTCTCTGATCATTTTCTTAAATGGAAATCCCAATTTTTTATTATATTATCTTTTTCCAACCAATTAATTTGAACAACTTTTGTCTTAAACATTTTTTTATTTGCCTAATATTTTTTGAGATATTTAAGAAAATTTTGGTAACTCTTTCAACATTTAACTTACGATACCTCGCTAACTATTTGTCGGAAGAAAAAGTGGTATTAGACTTTTTACTCTATGTATAGAGTTATATTTATAGAGATTATAGAGAGCCTCCCTTTGAAACTATATAACTTTTGTCCAAGACGTTTCTTAGTATCTTTCATATTTTTCGAGATTTTTGCTTGGCTTATTTAAAATGAGATATATATATATATATATTTTTTTTTTACACGTTTGACACAAAAAAATGTTTCAAATATAAATATGTAAAACGCAAAGACGTAAAAAGGTCTATATTTAAATAAATAAGTTAATCTCTCAGCGACTGATTGGGACTAATTAAAATATACAGTGTACGATCCATATTTAGTTCACATGTTTTTAAAATTTTGAATAGGTTTAAACTGTGGTATGCAAACTGTATGCAAAATAAGATGGTAAGCAAACTAGTTGCTTACCATCCTATGTTCCTACGTAGAACTTTTTTTCTATAGAATCTAATTGAATTAATTGCTTCACTTAATTCACGCGAATTCATGAAATCTTAATAAATTGATTAATATTTATTACGACCTTATTCTCATTCTACGTGATATATTTCAAAATGTTTCCAATCTCTCAAAAACGTTGGTGAATTGTGTATCTATATGTAAATACGTTTCCAATGTCGCCATTACTATGCAAGTAGGTTCAATAGGTCAAAATTAATATCCGTAAGTCTGATTGACAGAAAGTATTTCGCTATACAGTAGCGCAAGGGGTATTTAAGAGAGTATCAAACGACAAATTGTACGTCAAACAATGACAAATGAAAGTAAAATAACGCAATTTGTCATCGAAAAAGTTCTACAGCTGAGTACGTCGCGTATAAATTTACACGAGAATATATATATGTATATATACATATATGAAAGAATATATATATATATATGTATATATAACAGATACATATAAAACCGTCTCAGCTGCTATTTGACATATCAGCTTGTGATACGCCGGCTAATGATACGCCGACTTACGTATTGAATGTATCATCGATTAATTTCAACACGTCCCGCGTGTCATGACCTGCAGTAAAGTTTCTGAAAAAGTCAGATTCGCAAAAGAGTTATATGCGCGAAAGTATCGTTCTTTCGAAAAAGTACTTGTCAGAAAAAGAAATCATCTGTGTTTACCATTTCCAATTGTTAACGCGTAATTTTACATTCGATAACCGTAGCAATTAATATATATAATCCAACAAGTTCGTCGATAGCAGTCTATCACCGCGAATACAGTCCCCTTCGAATGATTAATGCTTTTACGATGACTAGTAGCATAAATGTCGTCTTTTCAATATATGAGCGACAATTACGCGAGGTTATATGATGGTTCACTTCTTGTTGTACATCAATGCAGTGCGACGATGCTCATTGCCGTTGATGCAACTGGCATCTCTTTTGATCTGTTATTTTCGCCGATATACTTTTGTCAATGAGCGTGAGTAAGTTTGTATGACAATTATTTTATCCCTCTCGTGTGTGTATATATGTATATAAGAAATCTTAGAAATGAGTGTCGCAATACCGAATAATTACCAATGATTTATTTCACATTTCTCATTACACAAAGACAAATAGTTTATAGCAATGAATTAGATATAAAAATATGGTATTTTTTTCGTTATCCGTTACGAGGCTTGTTATGAAATATAATTAATATGAAATGCCGCGTAATTATTTTTGTTAGTCACTTCAACGACAACGATTAATTAGAAGAAAGAAAATTGCATTATTACATCATATATCATGCACATTATATATATGCATAATAAAATGCATGATGAAAATATAAACGAGAAGAATATGAGCTAGATAGAAAAAAGCTTCCACAGTTCTAATTAAAGCTAGTAATAAAAGAACAGAGTGATCGACCAAGTAACTGGTTAATACCTCTATAATTTTAATAAATAGATTTTTCTATAAAAGTATCAAGAGAGCGGTTCTTGGTTTAGGATTTAGGAATTTTCGAAATCTTTTTTGCACTTTCTTGAAATTTAAAGTTCTCTAAGTATTCTTATTAAGTAAATATATTAGATAAAAATTTGGGATGATCATGGAGTTATATAAGACCAAGAATATGAGCACGCATTCACCAAAGTTGGACACTCACTTTTCTCTCCCTTTCTCTTTCTTTCTCTCTCTCTCTCTCTCTCTCTCTCTCTTCTCTCTCTTTCTCTTGAAAAAATGTAGCTGCTCGTTTTAGCCTTTATATATCGACGCGTATGTAAGATCGGAGCTTACTGTCGCCGACGAGACGAAAAAAAGGAATAACCGGCCGTCGTGTTCAGAAACTACTCGCGTATTCGACGCGCGTCTCGGGTGTGTCACGACGCGATTGTTACTGGCGAGTACTGTGAATCAACAGGCTGCATCTCTCCAACATCTCGTATCCCCTCCACTTGGGGAGGATTTTCCTCGGGCCGTCTCTATCCCTTGCGCCCTCGTGACCGCGCCTTGTTCCCTTTCAGATGGTCCCCTCGTTGTTAGTAGACCGACGAATTAAAGCGGATGGCACATAAAAAAACTTAACCAGTAAGACGTAAGCAGTAAAGAAACTGACCAATCACAATCAGTTATTCTCATAAGTTTTAAAATGATTTTCGCCCTTAAGTTTCGATTGTGATTGGTCGATCTGCTTACTGCTTATGTTTTATTGCTTAAGTTCGTTTATGTGCCATGGCCTTAACCGTTGCGTGGCTGCTCTCAAACGCCACCACGTGGGAAGACTTTAGCCTTCTTTGTGTCGGACGACGCTCTTCTTTCTTCATCGCGACTGTGTCGCTTCGCCGCCGCCGGCGCGATAAACTTTTCATTTTTTTTGACCTAATTAACGTTCATGGGCGACAAATAACCAGACGAATGTTTAAATCGCGCCTCAACGGTGCATCCTAAAAATGTCAGGCGCGTAATGGCTGTTTGCAGATGACGTCAACAAAGAGTCTGCCTACAACGTAAGTTTTGCTCGATGTCTGATTACGCAAGACACATTAATTAGATCATGTAAAATTTATACTTGCTACTGCGTTTCATTAATGACATATTTTGCCGCGTGATATTTTTCTTTCATCTTACATAATATTTTTTTATTGTCCTTGATGACGTCCACGAGACTTCGAATGCATATATTAATATTCATAATATTGTACAATATTTACAATATTGTAAATGTAAGTGTACATATTTATTATTATAATTTACTTTCTATAAGAGACTAATATTAAAATGTTGGAAAACACGAACATTATAGACGCAATTAGATATAATGCTACGGTAATTAGATATTATAATATTTTGATGAAACTAGTTTTTCCTATGTTGCGTGGATTTTCTATGTTGTCTGCATTACTGCATAATCGCAGTCGATAGTACGTAGAATCCAAAAGTATACCAATTATGCCGATTACGTTATGTACGAAATGTTTGTTTTTGCGTTATTATATGTTATACATTAATCGGCATTTTTTCCTTGTCATATTCACGTTTACGCCTCAAGGAAAGACTGCGCATGTATAAATGCACTGAGGGAAAATTGTATTAAAATTAAACAAATATTTGTTCGAATACGGCTGTGAATATATTTATTTAAATTAAGCAATTGTTTTCTAAAATTCAAGAAGAAAGTTTACATTCAGTACTTCTGTATTTCATTTTAGAAATTAGTCGTTTAATGTGAATAAATGTATTCGCACTCGTATTCAAACAAATATTTGTTTAATTTTAATACAATTTTTTCTCAGTGTGTTTCATGTGACGCGAGAACGTTCGTTGCACGGTCAACGATATCCACAACGGTATCCAAACGAGAATTCACGGGTTCGCTCGCAGATGTGGATTCATGTTGTCGTATTATGAACCTGAAGTACTTTACCCGATAACGTGTGCGTTTGTGCGCGCGAGTTCGAAAGGAGGCGTACAGGATGCGAAAAAGAAATAGTCCTTATACGGATCGAATAAACGCGATTCTACCGCTGCAGCACACACACACACACATATATACACGATTCTTGACCTGATTATACATTCCCGTGAACCAGTTTTTGTGTAACCACGAATAAATTATCGTCGCATGGTCGGGCCGCGTCAGTGTATCGAATGGAAGTAATTCGATTTTGCGCCTCGTATACGCACCGTGCTGACGCTTCCTCATTTATGGATTAAAACTCACTGGGCGAAGATGATGGTCTGACGATGAAGCAGTTAACGCGAGGGCTCGTCTTACGGAAGGATATGCAAATCGCACTCTAATACGACCTCGTGTGCTACATCATCGTGACGCGAAGCACCCACGGTTGTGCCTGAGGAATAATCGATAGCCCTACTTTCGGCGAACAATGATTGCGCCCTTGCGGCATGTACGATATTAATAAATTCTCACGCAATCGCGGCGGAGACGGATGCGGCTCGAGTAATTGAATTGAGCGAATTGAATGGAACGCGAAGTTAAGCCGTGTACGCAAGGACGCCCATAAAGTTGTCCAGTAATAAAAGTAGAAGATCACATCGTCACATCACGGGGTCACATACCGTGTCTGTGAAGTTAGCACGACGTTTTGCGAATTGATAAAAAATACACATTGTTCCAGTAGCACTTTTCATTGTTCTATTGTTCTTCAAAAAATGAAGAAATGTTCCGCATGTGTAATACCAAAAAACCGAAAATTAAGACATGTCGTGCTAACTTCGCACTTCCAGTACGACGTATCTTAATTACTCCTCCCTCTGAAGTACAAGAAGACGATAAATATCATGATATCTGACGGTTGTTCTAGCTTGTTCTACTGCAAGTTTAATGTAAATATAGCATTTCGGAACAAAATGCCAAAAACTGACCAAAAACAGCCGAAATTGAAAAATGTACTTCGCATTGGTACTAGTTTTTTGGTCAATTTTTGACATTTTGTCCTGAAATGCTACGTTTACATTAAACTTAGAACTAGTTAGAACAATCGTCAAATGTCAGAATATTTATCGTCTTCTTATACTTCAGAGGGAGGAGTGTTGAAACATATCTTAATTTTCGGTTTTTCGGTATTATATATGCGGAACATTTTTTCATTTTTTGAAGAACAATAGAACAATGAAAAATGCTATTGGAACAATGTTTATTTTTTATCAATTCGCAAAACGTCGTGCTAACTTCATAGACACGGGTGTACCGAGGAATCTCTTTAGTCTTCACGTTCACTTTGTCATTCATCGACACTTCCATCATCGCTCTAGAGTGCCGACCCGTTCTATTTTTATTAGTCCAGCTAACCGTTCTCTACTTACTCGCGAAACACAATCGACGTATCTTCGATCTTTATTCGCGTCCTCCGTGGTCAATTCCTTACGGCGATCACAACCCGACACGTAATCCTGAAGAACTCGCGCTCCGACTGTAATGGCATATTTATTGTCCTCCTCCCTCTTTCACACTACTGGTTGCACTTTGTGACTTGACACTGCACTTCTTTCCATTTCTCCGCTATAACTGATTTTCTCGCTTATTCACCGCCTTATTTAATTGATACTCCACTAGTGTATTCTTTGATTTATTAATGTTTAAACTAAAGATAATTTTTCCCTCTGGATTTACTAGTTCTCTCAAGGTCTGCGTATCGAAGGAGAACAAGTATAAGACGTATACGCGACTTGCGACGGCGATTTTTTTGCTGACAGCACCGCGTCCGAGACTGTCGCCGTACGTGACCGAGACGATGGCGGAATGCACTCTCTCGTCACAGTTAGAAAACCTCTGAAGTGCTTGCTCACTGCCTCTCTTTTAACCCCTGTCGCATATCAGTCACCACCTTGCTTATCGGTGCGTGAATAGGCCTCTCCTATCCGTGAATCTTTATCTCGTCCTGTTGATTTATTAATTTTGATTTGACCATTTACGGACGGACGCTAAATCAGTCAACACGCGACCGATTGTTGGAATAATTTTGACAGGAAAGCGTCAATTAATTATTACAATTCTGGCGCGTTATAAAATTGATTTTTACGACGTATTTTACGACGACAACGACAACGGAGACGACAGTATGAAACCATCGAAGAACTTAGATTAGATAGTCAGCTGTGTTAGTGTAACAGCGTGATAAGCGTAATAGAGATAAGATCATGTCTCGTTCGAGAAAGATCAAATGGAAGTGTATTTAGTGTCGCCATATTTATAAGTGAAATTCCAGCTAATAGGCTGAACAGATAATACAAGAGGAAATTTTTGTTAAGAATCGTGATGGAGCTACACTTTACGAAGATCGAGTAGGTTTTATAATTTTACAATTCGTCACTCGTTAACTCGTTGACTCGTTTCATGTTCTCTCCTCGGTAAATTACTTTCCGAAAAGAGTTAACGACGAGTTAAATTCAAACTCAAAAGCAGACATGTGTACTTTTTTTTCATCGATGCGTATCGCCACACTGAGAAATAAAAAATATTTTTCCGGTATGTACTAATGACACACATTTACTTATGCGCATATTCTTACACTGCGGGACGTTCTCTTGAGACCGTGGCATTCTGTGAGAGAGCAATTGTTTATTTTATTTAACCCCTTGCACTGTAATTTAGTCGCAACAGCACGTAGCAAAATCGGTGATAAAGTTACATCTGTAACGCCCAGTCTACATAAATCGCAAGTCGCAAAACGCAAATCGCAGTCGCGGAACCATTGTATTGACCAAAACACGTAAAAATTGAACCACGAGTCTTGTGTTTCTTTCCTATGTCTGGCCCACAAAACATACGATGATGGGTCTTCGTTGTGCTTCTATATTTAGTCCGATATATACGTACCACGAGCCTGACTCGTGTTTCTTATGTTTGGCCCGCAAAGTATATCACGTGTTTCACACGGTATTATAGGAGGTTAAATAAATATGGGGTTAAATAGAATAATTTCAATTCGAGTAATAAGCGTATTATCGCAATATCGACCGAGTAAATATCTCTTATTTCTTCATATATTTTTCCTCTCAAAATAGAAGACGTTACGACACTTTATGCGTCGTTTAAATCGAGTGTTCTCTGATTGATGATTAAGACGGATTTAAGACGCCGGGTTTATCGCTGACGTCATCGACGGAGACGATAATCAGAAATAGGGAGCCGTAAATCAGAACACGAGGCGCATCAATCTACACGGGCAACACGTAATGGGGTTTACACGAAAGCGTAGGCGAGAGGAAGTGTCGAGGAGCCGATACGTTATATCTTGCGTATATAACGCGTAGTTTTATCGGTGCAACGCTCGCTGTTATCCCATTACCGAGAAGCATATTAGATATGCGTTATGTTGCACTGCTATCGATCGTACACGATAACAATTGCAACGAAATTCACCGGCTTCTCGGCCTATCTGGACTCAATTGGATCTTGCCGCCGAGTGTTTTAATTCTCATCGGCTTTCGTTTAACTAATCGTTCTTGGAGGACTGAGCTTTCTTAGCGAGTACCCTGCGACACATAAGGCAGCATTCTCGTCGTCGCGTCGCTCGTGTCTAATCTATTAGATCTGTATTGCTCCGAGTAGCACCGATTTGTAATTTATATGAGACTAGATTATGGAGACTAGATCATTTCTGTATTGAAGAAAACTAAGACCACATCGGTGGACGGGAAAATAATGAATATTGATTCGTACACATATAATCTAATAGATAAGCATCTAATAGATACGCGATGACGTATTAAACGATACGAGTGGCATATTAAAGGATAATAAAAATGAAAATGCGGGTAATTGGTCAATGGAAAATTTTTCGCGGTACTACGTGGAGTCGTCACTTGAGTGACGATGTACATAACCTGCCAATTAATCAATGATCACACCCTTGTGTGCGGTGTATCAATTGCTGCCAGCGTCTGTCTCCCGGATCTGTCTCGCTGACAAACGTTCAGCCACGTTAAAGTCCGCGCTCTCTCAAACACAACGAGATACGCGATTACGGCGGCTTGATGAATGCAGTAATTCCCGCGACTGCCGCGGTCGCGCGCACATGTACATGCGACCTTGCCGTCCCGGCGATCTGTCCTGTGATTTCATGTCGTCGATGTGATCGTATATATTTCGAAATGTAAATCGCGCGAGAGGTATTACAGTCGTCGCGCTTGATAAACATCACGGCCTACAACCGCGGCCGCGGCTTCACCTTCCCGACAGAGACTCGCCTCTGGAAAAGAAGCCATCATCCTTTTGTAGTCGCGACGCCAAGCTATCCACTTATGCAGAAACACTATCTTTCTCGGCCGTGGTAAGAGTTCGACCGCTTACGAAGCCCCGTCGATGCTCTCGTACACTTGCTGGCAAGAGCGCGCCGGTATTTCGTCATGCTCACCTCGCGCGGGCTATATAGACACGTGCACTGACCATAAGCCAATTACCAGATGCGATCTTGTGTCTAAACAATTTAGCCGCCTTTGCTGCCTATCGCGACGTACAGCGCGCGGCGCGGCGCGGCGCCCGTGGCGCAAACAATGTCAGAGCGACGCCCGCGTCGCCGTCAAGTGTCGGCTGAGCCGCACACATGGGCGGCGACAAAAATATCCGCCGCATTTTTAGCAATTAGTCGCGCTGACGTTCGCGCGGGGATTGCTGAATTCACGGACTCGCGGTCGCGCGCGTGTCCTTTGCTGGGTTTCCTCTCACCCACGTTTCCCTCCCTCGATCGTTCCTCTCTCAATTGAGGTATGGACGTAAATTCGTAGTAAAGCGAAAGCCACACGCTTGCGTCCGGTTGTTGAGATCTCAACAGCGAGATTAACAGCGTCTTATCTTCGGGTTATTGGCAGGAATAAGGCCCCTTGCACAATGCCGGGCAATGAGCAAGAGGAATAAAAATTGACCAATCACAATCGACTATTGCAAGAATAATCTATCGTGACTGGTCTATTTTAATTCTTACTGCTTGTTGCCTGGCATTGTGCAAGGGGCTTAAGCTGCGTTATTATTATCGCGACCACCTCTCATAACGCCATCTCTTCAACGTTGTTACGAAAACGAAGTCTGTCGAGTGACGTTGAAAGCACCGATGTGAACTTAGCGCTCAACTTAAAAAAATTTTTTTAATGTTTATATCATAGGTTCGTATCTCGTTTGTACCTGTTTGTACCACATTTTATTTCGTTTGTACCTAAAGGGATAAAAAGTTATGGAAGGGTAAAAAATTGCCGGCGCCCAACATTAAGATATTTAAGACATTAAGAACGGCCAACGCCATTCGAAAGAGCATCGTTCGTACCCGCTTGTACCTCCTTTCAAATCGTTTGTACTTCAAAGGGCTCGGAAGTACAGAATTGTTTAATATCCGGGATATGTATAATGCGATAAATTTTTCAATTTTCAAGATATCTGAAAACACCAACGCCATTCGAAAGAGCACCGTTTGTACCTCAAAGGGCTCGGAAGTACAGGTCTTTCAAAATACGCGCTGAAGGTACTTCCGCCATTTTTCAAGATATCTGAAAACGGCCAACGCCATTCGAAAGAACATTGTTTGTACCCGTTTGTACCTCCTTTCAAATCGTTTGTACCTCAAAGGACTCGAAAGTACAGGTCTTTCAAAATATGCGCTCAAGGTACTTCCGCCATTTTTCGAGATATCTGAAAATGGGCAACGCCATTCGAAAGAGCATCGTTTGTACCCGTTTGCACCTCCTTTCAAATCGTTTGTACCTCAAAAGGCTCGGAAGTACAGAATTGTTTAATATCCGGCATATGTATAATGCGATAAATTTTTCAATTTTCAAGATATTTGAAAACGGCCGACGCCATTCGAAAGAACATCGTTAGTACCCGTTTGTATCGAGTACAAACTATATGTACGATTTGAAAGGAGGTACAAGCAGTTGCAAACGATGCTCTTTCGGATAACGTCGGCCGTTTTCAGATATCTTGAAAATTGAAAAATTTATCGCATTATACATATGCCGGATATTAAACAATTTTGTACTTCCGAGTCTTTTGAGGTACAAACGATTTGAAAGGAGGTACAAACGATACTCTTTCGAATGGCGTTAGCCGTTTTCAGATATCTCGAAAAATGGCGGAAGTACTTTCGGCACGTATTTTGAAAAGCCTGTACTTCCGAACCCTTTGAGGTACAAACGATTTGAAAGGAGGTACAAGCGGGTACAAACGATGCTCTTCCGAATGGCGTTGGCCGTTTTTAAATATCTTAAAGTTGGGCGCTGGCGATTTTTTACCCTTCCATAACTTTTTAACCCTTTAGGTACAAACGAAATAAAATGTGGTACAAACAGGTACAAACGAGATACGAACCTATGATATAAACATTTAAAAAATTTGTTAAAGTTTTGCGCTAATTTCACGTCGGTGTTGAGAGGCGCGTTCGTCGGAGATGCGTCTTATCGACGGATGGACGAGAAACACGCGGGTGAAAGTTCACTTTGGAAGATACGCGGGACGAGCAACGTCGCTAGGACGCATCGACGCGGGGAAAGAAGTGCGCCTTTCTCCTCACTTATTCTTTATTGTTAATTGCAACTATTGCGATGTACAGGTATATATGACAATGCGCGTGTCGTGTCCAATTGAAAGTCAAGTGTGTACAAGTACTAACAAAGGAACGAGAGAGGACGCTCGTGCACAGCGACGCGTACGTACAACTTATTTACAATAGAAAAAGGAAAGACCCAGAGAAACGCGCGGCGTAATCTGCGTGAAAAGCGCATGCACGGTTCCTCTCGACGCGTTCGGCGGTCGACGACCTGTGATTCGCGCATGAAGTCTAGCCGTTTGTAACGTGCAATTACCTAATAAAGCCGTTAAACGACACATAAAGTATGATATAATTAGCGATGCAAGAACACTCGGTAGTAACTTGGATAGAGAGTTCGGTAAATATAAGATCGCTCGCTCGCTGGAGGGGGAGATATCGCCTCTTCAAGCACTCGCGCGTGTTGCCTGACATGTAAATCCCCCCCTTCCATTGGTCTCACCGTCGTCGTTTTATATTTTACGCGACATCCCTGATATTATCTCGTATATCGGATAAATACGTTCTTCTATTTTTCTTCTCTCTTTCTCTCATTTCTTTTTGTATTTTTGTCCACGCTCGTCGAAGTTTCGAAATTATAGGTCTCGTCAAATCTCGATACCTTCTCTTGCTGGGCCACGAGCGTGTCCCGCGACCACTTGATGTTTTTTTTTCTCTTTTTTTCTTTTTACACACGTGATATTAACTTTCATATTATAATAATCCGTTGCTGCTGATCGTACGAGCGACATGAATATTTATAATCAATCGTGAGCTCGTACTACGGTCAACTACTCCTCCTCTCTTGCCCTCTCTCTCTCTCTCTCTCTCTCTCTTTCTCTCTCTCTCTCTCTCTCTCTCTCTCTCTCTCTCTCCGCTTGAGTACATGCACGTATCTCCGATGTGGGTTTTCGGCTACTTCTCGTTAGTCGGCTGGCAGAATCGCTTCCTCGCCCACCACACAGCGGCCAACGCCGCCGCTAAAAAACCTATACCGGCGACGATACCCATAGAAATCGCACGATTGCGGCGGTACGCGGGCACTTCTAAACCGACCCGCTCGCTCGTAGCCACGTCGTCAATGAGGGACACCGCGGCCACCTCGAAAGTATAATAGCTCTCCTCCTCCAGAGTTTTCACTGAAACAATATCGCGCACTGAAGACACGTTGACACATGAAAAGAAGTATAGCAATCTGCAGGGGGAGGTTTCTCCGAATAAGCCATGGTAGTGAACGTGTCGACGGAATAAAAATCAGGATACTAGTAGAGATGTGCGAATCAAGAATTTCTATGTCGAATCGAATCAAATGTCATTTTTTAAATTCGAACTCGAATCGAATCGAATCTTTAAAAAATGTAACATGACTATTAAACATGCAAATAGTGACGGAAGATTTTAATATGGAAAGGAATATTGATGTTGTAATATCATCTTAAAATAAAATATATATTTAAATATTTAAAGTAATTTATAATTAAATTATTAATTATAAGTTAAGTTAATCACAAGTTAAGAGTTCAAACATATAGGCCCAAATGTCTTGTTTTGTAGCTGCTGCACGCAAACGATAATGTAGTCCAGAGCTCGGCAAACTTTGCAACTTTCGGCCGATTTTCGGAAGCTACGCGACTTCTATCCTCCCCTTACCGCGCGGCGGATCCACAGAACTGACGGTCGCGGCTCGCGACCTCAGGACCGTTGAAATCATAAGGCGCATCTATGTGGTTTAAAAAAAAAGCGCGTCGGCAATAGTACCACCTCATGGGTGACGAGGAAACCTATTACATTACCTTCTAATTATAAAAATATAAGAAAAAATATATATATATACTTGTACAAATATATATTTGTACATATTTGTACGAAATATTATACATATAGTTGTATCGATACATTAATCTTTCAGCCTTTGGTGGTGCGTTTGAGGAGCGCATTGTCAACGTTAACACGTTATTCTATCTTTATCGCTCATTACATGTACAAGGATTGAATGACGCGTTAGCGCTGATCGACGCGCTCCCCGAACGCAGTTCTTTAGTAGGCACCACATAGATGCGCCTTATGATCTCAACGGTCCTGAAGTCGCGAGCCGGGACCGTCAGTTGCTGAATCCGCGCCGCGCGGTAAGGGGAGATAGAAGGGGAGATAGCTTCCGAAAATCGGCCGAAAGTTGTAAACTTTGCCGAGCTCTGATGTAGTCGATTCCTATTCGAATTATTCGGATTCGAATCATAAGGATTCGGACTCGAGTCGAATCGAATTACATTAGATTCGGTTCTATTCGAATTCGAATAGTTCGCACATCTCTAAATACGAATGATGCTTGCGATCGCAGGAGTAACGAGATGACTCACCTAAATAATAAGTGTCCGTCGTTTCCGCTCTACCGTACAGTTGCTCCGACGGTCCTCTGAACCACCTGACGGTGTAGAGCCTGACTTGATTCTTGCCGTACTCGGGCGGCTCCCAAGTCACCAGGTAACCCTCGACCGTCGCTTGGACTCTCACGTTGAGCGGCGCTCCCACAATCTCGGTTTCTGAAATAGCATTCGTGTATATTTGGTTTTTCTCTCGCGGTCTTCCGTTCGATCGACGTGGCGAGATCAAGCTTGCCCCGATAGTCGTTCACTTACCTTGCAGGCCGTGGAATTCCGACGCCGAGTTCTCGTCGATGGAACCTGGAAAAGAGATCTCCTGTTAGTTCGGTTATTTCACAGCATTCCCGACCAGCGGCCGCACAGGCACTAGGTGTGACCGTACTCGGCTGCGTGAATATCCGAAGCGTCTTGCTGAACATCCCGTCGCCGTGCTTGTCTTGGCTGAGAACCATGAACTCGTACTCCCGTCCCGAATGGAGATTGCTCACCGTCGCCTCCGTGAGTTTTTTCGAGAGGATCTTTATGGTCCTCCACTCGGACGTGTCCGTGGGCCGGTACCTGCGCGGAAATGTGGCGTATCCTTTTGTGTCCTCGCGTTAAATGGACCTAGCGAGATCCATCGTGCTTTTCGTGCACGACGATCGGCATTTGCTCTCATGTCGCCCTTATCGGACAGACGTCGAGTGTACACCGTGCATGATGCGTTACCATACTGAATACTCCATCCTGGGCCGCACGTATCCGGGCACCCAAGTCAAGGTGACGGCGTTCTTGCTGCTGTTGGCGCTGAGGTTGTACGGCGCCCGCGGCGGGACGTTCAGCACCATCAGCTCCGCGTCCGCGACGACCGTCGCCGCCTCGTTGCTGGCCGCGCATTGGTACAGCCCTCGGTCGTGTTCCTGGATCTTCCTTATCGTCAGATTGCCGCCGATCATGCTGGTTCTCTCGGGCGACAGGGGCGATCCGTCCTTTTGCCGAGAAACACCGTGAATAACATGTATGTTGCACGCGTGGCGCGATCGGCAACGCGCGCGCGATCGGCCGCGATCGGTTAATCGCTAACCGCTACCACGTACTTTATACCACACGATGGTTGGTCGATGCGCGTCGTCGCCGTCCCTGGCGTCGCATGGGATCTCCAAGCTGTCGCCTAGCTTTCGCATGTACAGGTGCTGCGGCGTTATCGTGAACACCGGCGGCCTTTGAACTATCTGTAAATAATCGGCGATATCGAACAACGACCCAGATATACTCTCGCGATTGTCATAGCAATCGCAGGGGAAAACCTTTTGCGACGCTTGCCGTCATATTCGTGGGGAGAAATTCGCCGTATTCAATTCCGATCGTTAAATTTGCGTCATGTGCGACGACGCTGTACATTTTTCTTTTATCTTTTTGTCACGTCGGTGTGATTTTTTTTTTTTTTTTTTTTTTTATTTAATTTCTTGTTACGTGTCGACGCGGCAGCAAGAGCCACTGTCAAGTTTTTAAATGACATTTTGCACACGATCTCTATCGTTCTCAGTGAATTGTAATAATTTTTTTCGCGTCTCTACTTCGTTCTTACTTCGTTGTCCATGTGATAAATATGGAGCGCTCGTAAGAGATGCAAATTTCGCAAGTTGACAATAACGTTGCCGCTAAATTTTCCATACATCTGCGTCTATGGGGAGCACTGAGCGCCGCGCGTCGGCATTGTTTTGAGAAACTAACGCGTGTGTCGCCGAGGGGAAACGTTTGCTCCATTTCTCGCGTCGTTCTCGTCGGCCGTACGGCCCGGAGGATTCGCAATTGGGGAACAAAAGCACGGTTAAGCCGTCGCCGTCGACTGGTCAATGGTCTCAATGCTGACGTGTGTGTTCTCTGTTTTTCTCCCTCCTTGTGCAATCTATGTCGCTCGTTGTGGCGCGACGACGGCGATAGAGCGCTACTCACCACGGTGATCAAAGGGCTGGGCCCTTCGGTGCCTAGCTCGTTGTAGGGCGTACAGCTGTATCTTCCCGAGTGCGTCTCGTCCACTTTGCTGAAATACAGAGATCCGTTTCTCCTGTAGAAGACCCCCTGCACGTTGTAAGGGTCGAAGAGAAATCCGTCCTTCTCCCAGCGTAAGTTCGTCAGCGGCGGATTCGCCCTGAAGTGGCAGTCCAGGAGGGCCGGCTTGCCGTACGGTAGATAGACCTGTCGCTGCGCGTAGATCACTTTCGCCTTATCTGCGGGGAGATCGATTGCTGATCGTGAGAGAGGGAAGACGCGAATTTAAGGCGGCGCATCTGCCGCCTTTCAAAGCCCGCTTGTTTTCGCATCAGCGAATCAGCGACGTGTGTCGGATTAACAGCTGTTCGAAAACAGCACAGAAAAATTAAGTCCTTCGAAGTGAACCTTTGCACGAGTGAAATGTTGCGTACTCTTTTCACCGACGAAGGACGAATTTTTATTATTAATTGTAAAACAGCTCCGCCGGGAATATCCCGGCTCGAGGCCGCAGAGGGTTAATAATCGCGGTCGCAGAGAGCATGCGACACACGACGATGCTCACATTGTACATTTAGAAAGGCCGAGGCGCTCTGCTGGTCTCCAGTCTCTCCTGTTACTACGCAGGTGTACTCCCCGAGGTCGCCCATGGCGGCTGAATTTATGGTTAACGTCCCGTCGCTACCGATGGACGCTCGTTTCATGAGATCCTGCCACGACAACATTAATTCGTTAATTTTTCCCGCGCATCGAGAAACGCGCTGGCAAACGAAATTTCGATGCGCGCGCGATTGGCCGAAGGCGCTCGGAGGCTCCCCTCACCTGTATTTCCGGGATGGGTGTTTTCTCGCGTAGCCAAGTCACTATCGTGTTCTCGCCCTTGGCTACACAGTCGAAACTCACGGGCTCACCCTCCATGGCAGTTTTGTTGACAGGCGGTATCGCTAGGAGAGTATCACCTACAACAGTCGTCGGGAACGGCGACGCACCTGGGTTGAACGATTTAACGAGTCTGCCCAGGATCAGGTTAGTAAGCGGCAGCGGGGTTACGGTATAAAGAGTACACCTTTACTCGTATTAATTATCTTTTGTTGCTCGACATCAGCGGGGGATTAACGGCGTGAGACAGACGATTAGTCATCCGCGTGTTTTAATCCGGCATACGCGTTAATGTAAAACAAGTTAACATTAGTATCGATTAGTGGGTCAGAAACCACCACCACCAGAAGCTACACGCACAATACAATAAATAGCGACGGCTTTCGTGGGAATTATTGTTTCTCGGGGATTCAACGAACGCTTCGTGGAGTCTGCGTATATCCAACATTTAACCTGGGCTATAACCTTCAATTTATTTAGGCACAGAAATAAACGTTCTATGGTAAATTACGAGCGAGTCGGTTGGTCATATTAATGACTCAGCTCTCTCTCTCTCTCTCTCTCTCTCACTTAATTTTATTTCGTGCGATAGAATAAGATTAACCTACAGAACCGCGGAACCCGATCTAGTTGAGCAATGACTCATGAAATAAGACATGTCTTATAATTGATACAGTCGATATATATATATATATATATATATATATACTGTTTTAAATTTTGGAGCAATTATAATTTGCATTTGTTCGAATTCAAACTTTCATAAAAGACTTAGAATATTTGTCTGAATATCTTACGCGAACGCGTTGCTATTTTCAGCGAGTGCAACGAGCGTCAAATTAATGAAGAAGTAGCAAAGTGACCTCCTCATCAAGACGTTTTTTCTGTTTTTTTCTCGCCTTTCAAGTCTTAAGAGGGTCAAGTATGTCAGAGGTGTTTAAATGAGCGATTAAGTTCAACTCATTGTCTACTTGCCAAAAAATTAGGTCACGAATTTCACGGCTGTAAGCTCTCAGTTAGCTTGGACGCCAGGACGACACAGTTTAATCAGGTCAGCTCTTGTTAGTCGGCGACAACTTGCATAATGTATCGGGGAATTGTTATTACACATAAAAAATATACGTTATATTCCATCATTTCTTAAGTAAATCCTGGCAGGTGAGGCGAAACGTTCGGTAGCCGCCAGCCTTCGATGCTCTCCCGCGGATTTCATCAAAATATCAAGGCGTGCAAGAAGATTTACGAATGATTTATCGATTGCTTATCAATTATTTTATCCGTTATTTATCGTTTGATTCTCATACACTTTGCCGGCTACTGGACATTTCGCCTCTACCATTCATATTGCATCCGTCGCTGATCTACATGCTGATGGGTGCGGCGCTCTCCCAGCTCCAAGTTCACGTCATAACGGCAAACAAACTGGTGTAAGTACACACCAGAGAAATTAGTGAAAACACATCTCTCAGTTATTCGACTAGTTTCGGTATTATCACCATTAGTACAACCACCGTGCATGCGGAGAACTGCGTAATGGAATTGTGACTAGCTTACCATCAATGGCGAGGTGGAACCACGTGCCATTGTTCCTGGAGTTGGGCGTCCTGTTAGGGAAGATCACCCTACACTCGTACCAGCCTTGGTCGCTCTCGCGGATATTCGTGAGATTTATACTACCCTGGCCGTACCCACGGTGGCCGATATCGTCCAACAAGTGTATACGACCTTTGTAGTTGTCCTCCAGCGATACGCGCCCGTCGTACCACGAGAACACCGTGCGGCCCTAAGCAATCAGAGTAAGCGAGAAAGCGTCCCGGTGTCGAGAGATCTCGTCCGGCTGCCCTGTGCTGCGTCCGATGTGATCGGATCGCACATGGACGTAACGTTCCCCCGAGGAAGCAACTCTCCGCGCGAGCGAGTTTTCTTCCTCTCCTTCTTTACGCGCACTCGCGGGCGCGGACGCGGGCGCGAGCGCGAGCGCGGGCGAAATTGAGGAAATTACACCGCGTAATCCGATTGCAAGTTGCAACGGCACGGCCATTAATTGGCTCTTCCTTTCGCGGGACGAGCGACTCACGCGTCTCGGCGAAAAAGTGTAACGTTCGTGCGAGAGCACGAACCCGACGAGCAAGCTCGAAGCTTCGCGCGTGCCGCGAGTGCAGGGCGCGGAAAACGGACGGCCAAGGAGAGAGAGAGATTCAGCGACACGTTCCGGTCGGTCGGTCGTCAACTCGCGGCGCGCACCGCATTCTTCTCTCCGCGGCGGCGAACGCACCCGGAATCCCTGAAACGAGGATATCATCGGCGCGACTGGGGCGAGAATGACGCTAATCGCTTCTAATCGCATGACAATGCATTAACAGTGACCCACTGAGGTTGGACCCCTCGTGTCGCAGACTGAACGTGACTAAATATAATGCAGCCTTGCGTCCCGTACTCCAATTACCAGCGACGGACAGACGAAGAGGGAAAGAGCACCTGTTTTGCATACGCATCAGGGACCAATGGGCTCTCGAGCTCTCCACTTGATTTTATACAGCGGCGGCCACGTGCAATTCGTTTCCGTCGCGCGACCATTCAATGTGACATCCGCGAAAGAACAGCCCCGCGCTCACGGGGCCGGATGCGCCGCGCGAGCGCGGCCATTTCGTGCCACGAAAATCTCTCCTGATGATCATTAGGAGATAATTCGCCGGTTGAACGCGCGAGACGCGTCGCGGGGGCTCAGAGAGGAGCTTCCAAGGGAGACGTTCGCTCCACGTACACACTACGATATCTCTTCAGGCGAGTTTCCTGAATCAGGGAGAAATGCACGCACATGTGTTTCTACCCGACGAAGTGACGCCCGAAGAAGCTCCGACCAATCACACACAGTCGACGTCGCCGTGTTTACCAAAGTTCCTCGATTTGGAGTTTGGAAGTTACTCCCGCTTACTACCCTTCGAGGGGGGATGAACGAGACTAAGTCTTGACACTTTAAGATTTAAAGACCCGTGGGATCTGTGAAACTCGAATCGCCAGGCCGATCAAAATTAGCCGCGTAGTTCTCGGGACACCGCGAGTTGTTAACAATCGAGCCAATTGTGGTCGCTTCGGCTAGTTTTTCTCAGCTCGTCGTCTATCGTGACGTCATCGGGACACGTTACCGTATCTTCCGTGCGACGCACCCGATGCTGTTAGTTTCCCCCGCGTGTAATGTGTCCGCGTGAAATCGAGAAGATGTGGAAATCCCATATGCGGGCAGATCCGTTGGTCACGTCCGCGGAATCGGATATATTCGTCAAGTAATCGAATAACGTGCGCCACCTTGAAGCGCTTTTCCTTCGCGCCTCCGCCGGAAGGTACGCGGTGGGTACGCGCCCGTACATACGTTGCCCGTACATACGTCCGTATGCAAATGAAGCGAGTAGCACAGCCTGCCTTGACGCTCTTTAATCGTCAATCAGTCAATCGCACGTCGTCGGGTTACCGTTGTTACCGTGCGGCCTGTTATTAACTACGTTAAATGATTAAAGTGAATCGCGCATTGCGCGTTGCGCGCGCGACCTCGACTTCCGCGTTTCGCTAAATAAATACGCGCCTAGTTACACTCCTTCGCGAGACCCTTTTGCCTGCTTCCGCTCTTCTGTCTGTTCAAGGGCGGACTTGTACTTCCGGAGAAAAATCAGAGAGAGAGAGAGAGAGAGAGAGAGAGGGAGAGGGAGAGAGAGGAGGGAAGTAAAATGCCGAATCGCGAGGACAAATTGTAGCGACTCTTTGTATCTTTCGCCACTTCACGGAGTCTCCCTCTTTCTCCCTCTCTCGGACCGATCAATGTGTCGTATCGGGAATTAATATCACATTGAATATCACGTGCCTAATCGCATGGGAACGGTCTTGCTGCTAGCTGTAATAAATACTCCTGCACAACCGTGTGTGTTCGAGTCAAGGCGAAATCGGCATACGTGCCACGGGAATGTATTACCTCAATCACGCGACGCGCGCGCGCGCTCTGTTATTTTACATATCGTGCGCTGCGTGTTGGTTTCGTCGCAACGACGTTTATTTTACGTTCCCGAGTTCGAGTCGCATCGAGAGGGATAATTTCGGGATAATTTGTAACATTAGAGTTATTTAAATTGTAGAATCAATCGATGGCGCGAACGGCGCCATCCGCTGTCGCGCGCGTGTCTCGCCGCGTTGTTCGTCGAAGGAACGTACAATTACCGGTGGACTCTGATAATCTCGCATACTTACGTTGCGGTTCCATTGGAGGATGTACGGGATCGGCGTCTCGTGCGGAAAATCAAGATCGCAATTAAACACCGCGTACTCTCCCACCCCCGCGGTTAGATAATTCGGTTCCTTATCCTCCTCCAGCATCAAGCCGTAGCTGCATGCTGGAAAAACCGGCGACCGATTTACGACATACATATACATCGCATTTCCGCGGAATCGCCATCGCGATTCTTTCTTTTGTCTCTCTCTTTTTTTCTCTTTTTCGCATCAGCCGTGCCTTTCGAACGCGCGCAGCATTATCGCGCACGAACGACTGCGAGAGAACGACGATGTCGCGTGTAAAGTGATATTACACATTGGGACTAATTTCCGGAGATTGCGTAATTCTCCGCTGGATTATGCGTGACGATCGAGCGCTTTAACAAAATGATGCGTTGTTGTTATCTACACCCCGGCGTGATAAACAGCGACCCCGATGAGTCGCATTCGGGAGGTAAGCGATAACTAAGATGCGGAGGGGGGATGCGCCGATGAATCTCTCGGTGCCGGCGATAATCGACGTGTTGTCAGTCTCGCCGCGAGTGCACTTAAAAAAAAAACTTTCACGGTCAGTCGCGCAAGAATGTATGAAACATGATATTAAAACACGCATATATATATATACACACACACACACACACGCACACGCACACGCACAGGCGCGCGTCGTCTCGCTCGTGGTTTTATGTGGCGATTATTCGGGTAAACAAGATGCTCGTTCATTCAGCGCTTCTCCGGCGGTAATCTCGAATTTAGTCTGCCTCGCCTCGTATACTAAACGACGAATCAGCGAATTGTGCCGGTTATCGTCCGAAATTTATCCCGAGTTTACTCTCCTCGCTCTACGATTCCCGTTCGTGAGATCGAAACGGCCGCTGCCGCTGAAGATACTCTCTCGCGTTTTCGCTCGCGAACGCGCCGTGAGCTCTTCTCTTTTTCTTTTTTACTTTTTTTTCTCACGCTTTCCTAACCTTCGCAGCAGAGGAGGACGGCCAACAGCTTGTAGAGGTATTGCTCGGTGCTGCTCATCCTTGCCTTCCGATCCTGCGTCACGTTACCCTCTTCTTCTTCTTCTTCTTCTTCTTCTTCTTCTTCCTCTGTTTTCTCTCTCGCACTTTGCTTATATCGCATCAACGCGAGCGCGACCGAGCGAGCTACGTCGCGCTAATAGAGAAACGACGATGGACCACACTCCGCGGCGACGACCGACACATCTGTCATCACCCGCACTCATCGAACACCAGCCACCACCTTCGCGAGTCCGATCAGCACGCGTCACTCTGACGCGTGCGAACGACGTAGGTGTACGTTCCGAGCATCCTCGACCTATCTCTCTCCTTCGTCCTCCCTCCGCACTCTGAGCACACGCAACCCCCGGATGTTAGCCGCCGAACGTTATGCAAACTTCCTCGACCGAGCCGCTTCTTCGTTTGCCTATCTCGGGCACGAGCGAGTCACGTCGATGACGCCGCTCGAACACCGTCGGCTCGAGATCGATCAGCGGTGATCGTAGCCTGGTTCGTCGACGCTTCGTCGACGTGTGTCACCTTCGACAGGTCGTTGACATCGGAGAACGCGCACCGAAGGTGCACCAGATGCCTGTTTTGCGATCGGGTACCGCGCGTTCGCTGGAGCCGACGCACAGTTTGATCCGAGACGAGATTGCCGTGTAGCCGAGTGGAGAGTGCCTCCGGAGAGTGCAACGGTAGATCGAGTAATCGCGCTGCCTTGTTCAATCCGAGCGGATACGAAGAGCTAGGAGTAATGAGCACCGCCGGGAGGGGACTGCGAGGGTGGATGGACCGCGACGGGAAGGGGGGTGGTGGCGGGTCGCAGCGTCGCGATTCTGCGTTTACGGGCACGCTCCGGTTAGCGGTGGCATGCGAACTTTGGCACACCCATGGCGACACGAGTGACCGACGCCGCACAAAACGCGCGATTGATCGCGCGATTGATCAGCTCGATCCACGGGATAAAGGGAAGGAACGAGCGAGGAATGTGCGTCGCGAAACGCGCCGCGCCGAGCCGAGCCCCCCTCGAAACGCGTATTTCCGCAGGTTGTGCTGGATATGAGCCGAGCCAACGTGCGTTATCGCGCTATTCGAGATAATCCGACGACTCAATGAAGTTTCGCAACTCGTTTTATGTCTGTTCCAGTCGCGTCTTACGCAACAGTGTTGCTCTTCTAATTTAAGATATTTTTTCTGTTTTCTTGTTTTTTTTTTTTTTCTTTCTTCCGCTCAATTCAGCTCTCAAGTAACTATCTACTGCCCGATACGTGTAGTTATTTAATGCGCGCGAGGTAAAAAAAGGCGAATATGTTTGGGTCGCTTTATTCTGTCTCTCAGACGTGTAATCTGCGGAGTCGCTGCTGGAGCACGCGAAGGGTCGTGTTCTTACAACGGGAACGGAAGAATTAAACAGTATTCAGTCCTACCTTCGGCCGTCGACTCCGCTCTGCTCTTTCATCGCTGTTCTTTCTTGGTCAAAGCTGATTCGAGGGAATTGAGCCCTGCGTGCTGCAGCGTAAGGTACTAAAAAGGCTCGCGAAACTCCATTACGTATATAAACTAGCGATGGGTGATTTCAATGCGATCTTTAGGAAATTAATTTTTGTCGTCCAGAAATAGATTTTTTCAATCGATTCTTTTTCCTGTTGAATTTTTATCCTTAATTCCTTCCTTTCAAACTGACGCCGGTGTGATTTTTACTTTGACGTATACAAGAGTCGATGATCTTCCATGAGAGATCAACGATCGTTTTTCATTTACAAGATTGCGAAAAATGGAAATGACACACTCGTTCGAGACGTGTCGTTTTCATTTAAGCGGATAATACAAATGGTGGTGTTGACGCGATGAAAATTTATCGAACAAGAGAGATTTATCGAAGAAGAGAGAGATTGGGAGATATATATATATATATATGTCTTCTCACGACACGATGGAGCCTTTGAACTTTCTTACTTGCACACCCACGTCGTACAATTGTCGTTTGCTCTTTTAAAACTAAGGTTTCCTCTGGTTTCCGGTTACAACCTGATTACTATTCTTACGCTCATGAAATTGACGACCTCTCTTCTCTTTTTCTGTCCGTTGCATTCGTAGGAGGTAGAAAGAAAAGATAAACGATATGTACTGTCGCGATTGATTTTCTCCGCGAATCACAAACCTCTCCATCTCGCCAAGTACGGCGAACGACACTCTGGAAATAAACCGTATGTATTTTTATTTTCATTCCATCGGGCTATTCGTCGAAAATTGTATCGAGTCGCTTCGGGCATGTACGCGGTACGTACGCGTACGTCACGTCAAAGGATCTTCCCACAACGACGCGACTCACAACGCGAAGTACGCGAAATGCTGACAGGACCTCGGGAAAATATCGCGAATGAAACGGCAAGCTACGACCGAAATAAAAAAAAAAAAAGTGCCTGTCGTGCGGAGAAATCATCGATTTCCGATGAGTTTCGCGCTCGCCGAAGTCGCACGACAGCGACGAAGCTGCAGCTCGGAGCAGCCGCGCGCTCCGCGCGCGCGTGGGTGACCTCAGATTACGTCACATCCGTCCCTTGCCGCATTAGCAGACTGCCCACAGCCTTGTCACGCTGTTGAGATAATGGATCCATTCGCATGGATCACGATTCAGGATTGGACGTGCCCGGGACACTGGAAATAAATGCGTGCATAATGATACCGGTCGTATTATTTCATCGTCGACGCAGAGGAGGGAACGGCTGGTTCCTGGTTCACCTGCCCTGCGTTCGAATCGATCGCAAAATCGACCTGTTGAACGGTCGAATCCGGATAAGGACTCGGTAAGGCCGTGCTTCACGGGCGGCGTGTGACTTCGTATTCGTCACGTTCGCAAATGCGAGTCGTTATCGTCTTCACCGTCGATGCAGAATCAGGCTTATCAGCGTAGTGTAGGAGAATATATCGGGATAATATGTCGATTTCACGTGAAAATATATATAATTTTCTGGAAGGATCGCACCACAAATCGATCACGAGGGACAATTCGTGAGCGACAGGAGCGAAGAAAGTTTCCATGAGGGAAGGGTATCGCTAATCAAATTGTTCCGAAGGATTACTCCATCATCGTGTCATTGATGATCTTTCATTCAGCGAAGCGGAAACAGTGAAAAATGACGCATCTTTGAGACGAAGATTCTCTGTTGCGACAGTCGGCGGGGATCACGTGATCTATGATGCTTTACTAGGACTCGGATTGGTACCTCGTGCATAAAAATAACGTCCACCTTACGAGCAAAGGGAGGAAACGGAGAGAGGAAAGTCTCGACGGCTGATCTTTTCTAACGAAGCGGCGCTCTAGTTTTTGACACGGCGCGACGCGGCGGCGACGACACCGTGATGTACGTTGAGAGAAATCATGGAAATGACGGTCATTTCCAGTAATCAGTGCCGTAGCGTGCCTTGCGCAAATGTACCTTCTTCTGCCAGTCAACGGCGGTTTCGCGAGCAAATTACAGCCGCGTCGTGATTTCACGATCTCGCATATCAGGCGTCAAAATCTATTCCCGCTTAAACGGCTGTCTCGCATCTCACGCGAGAGTCGCTGTTTTTGCTCGGGTCTATTGGAAATATACGATTCTTTTATTATTATTATTATTTCTTGTAAGAAATAGGGGAGAACATACACTCGTCGTGCACGACGAGCGTTCCTTAATGAATCGCTCGCATAAGCGGAGGCGATAATTGCTCTGTGACCCGATTTCCTTGTTCCAACAATGATCCTATTTGCCTTGAGAAGCAATTCAATCCTTCATTATCGCCAGGATATAGAAATCTTTCAGTTAGGCAGGAAGAACGGCGCTGCTGGTAATATCATGTAACAACGTTAGATACGGATCTAACGATGTCACGCCAACTAATGTGGCATTCAGTGTGCCGACATTCATTTCATTTGTACTTGCAACGTTGGATCGCGATAACATATAATTATGGCTGGCATCCGACATCGTCAGTTGGGTTTCTCTTTCTCTCTGTCTGCGTGCACGTACTTGTAGCGCAGTGATGTCGCAAAGTGAGTTGTCTTCAAGTGCGTCTACACTCATCGTGAGATATATCTGTGGAGCCAGGAGGATTTGCAATATGACGTAAAAATATTTAATCGTGTAAGAGTACGTTTAATAACGGAGGAAGGAGCTGATATACCACGAAATATATATATATATATAAATATTAATTTCAAATCTAAAATAAAATCTAACATCCTATATTTCTGTTCGATATAAATCTAAATTTCAAATCCAAGTCAAGTTCTCGATTCATCAGCATTCTCGGTTCGCGTCGAATTTAGTCGACTAGTGACCGACAATCCGATTTCCTCTCATCAAGCTATCTTCGTGTCGTTATATTTCAGAGTCTCTGTCGCAACGTCGGACTTCGTCGTTGAGCGATTTCACACAGAGGGTAGATTAACGTGACGCATTCGTCCTGGGAACGTTTCCCCGTGTTTCGTTTCAAATGTCGATTTATTTTTCATTTTATTTAATAATAAATTGTCTACAATTTGTCCTAAGTTAGTACGATTTGGAGTTCTCGTGGGGGGTTCGCGAGAAAGCATAGATCAATTCAATCAAACTGGGTATGGAGGTGAACAACGAGCATATTCGCTTCGCGAAAGTGACAACGAAAACGGTCTGAGAAACGCACCGTGTGTACAAGTTCGACGGCGGATAATAGTCGAAGAATAAGCGGAAGTGAGAGAAGACAGACGATACAGAAGAACGTTACATGTATGTATAGAAGCGAGATTCGATGTAGGACGTGAGAAAGCTAACGATTACAAGTGTGGAAGTGTTATACCCCGACGACTCAACGGAAAAACAAAGGTCAGTAGAAAGAGAATAAAAGGATATTATATTCACATTTTCTTTTCTCCTTTTCCTCTTGCCTTTTCTTTCCTCTGTTCCTGTTTTCTTCGGTTCGCGAATTCTCAATTCAGCGCAACGCATGTCGTT